AAAAGGATGAATGTTTTCCACAGTTTCATTCCTGTTTAATTGGTGTGATGGGTCAACCTGCCTTAATTAGCCCTACTGCTAACTCTAAAATTAGAAAAGAAACTTTTAGTGTCTCATGTCAGTTCATTCAAAGGCTTTTCCCATCTGGAAAGAAAAACATTTTTGGATGAAACTCTAGATACTTTTTTAAATGAAAATGTAAAGGCTAAATGTAAAGATATTTATTTATCAATCATATGTGTCTTTCCATGTGTGTGTGTGTGTGTGCATCATTTGTGAGTAAACAGTTAATGTTAGAGGAGTGGAATAGGGAAAAACACACACCAGTGAGTGCACAACATATTCTCACACACACACATACACAGAAAGGCTTTCAGTTTCTAAATCAATCCCACATCCGTAGCTAATGCAGTGCTGGGCCCTCTTCAGGAAGCATTAGGCCTATTAGTCAAAGTGTGTACGCATTCCTCTATGTGTATGTGTGCGTTTGAGTGTGTGTAGAAGCCGCACACTCAGCAGCAGCCGATCTCAGTGGATCCTGTGGGGTCAGCAGGTGCAACAGGGAATGAGGGACCATCTTACTGTGTATGAGTGTGTGTATGTTCCCTCCTCTCGATATCCTCTGGGCTCTTTATCGCTCTAAAATTATCCTCCATTTACTGGAACACACTGGACAGACTGAGAGGGAAAGAGAAATATGGACACTCTAGTTTGAATGTGTTCCTGGATCACTTATGGATGCGGAACTAAGAGACAAACAGACTTCTTGCTTTGTCAAATAATCTAATTTAATAAGTGCGGATAAGTTAAGAAACCTGATAGATGGGAGGACTGATGATGCCTCTGCTAACCAGAGAAGACATTTTAGCTTTGTAGCACAACACAAATCAACAAAAAAACATTAGCAGTAAAGCTGGATTTATAGTTATGTGTTAAAGAGGTTATAGCTGCGAAGCATGTAGCCATAGTAGCTACGCTGCAGGCTACTTTGTACGACTACAGAAATACAACAAGGACCTGCATACTGTTTTCTCCTACAAGTTTCTAATGTCAGCGGGATTGCTGATAGTGAAGACAACATTAAAGGACAGGTTTATTTTTTTAAAACACATTTACAATACATGTACAATGTACAGGAGGAAGGACTACAGTGACCTGTGGCAATTTTATATTCAGTAATGAGACGTGTTGAAATAAAAGTTTCCAGGACGTAACTCCAGTTATCATAACCCAGTGTCATTCTATAAATAAATAAAAATAAATACTATTACTGTGGGGAAAAAAACAAAACATAATTTCTTTGTGTCCTCCAGTGGTATCTAGCTATGCAAATAGTTTTCCCAGGTTTTGAGATATTTAATGTATATGTTTGAGATTTCTGCCACCATCCCAATATAATGGAGGTGAATGGAATTTTGATTGTGGTTGGGAAAATTAAAATGCAACATCTATTTCTTGAAACGGTGTCCCCGATTCTCTTAATAATCGACAGACCTTAATGTAAATAGTTTTCTGAGGGACTATTTTTTCAGTTTAATTCCTTGCCACTATCACTAAGTGCTTAGTCATGGTGGGAACTGTTGGGTCTCTGTAAATAATATTATAATAATATTACAAACTTCGTACTTTTTTGACTTGGAATGTGATAACTTTGGTTATGAATTGGTGCTATATAAATAAAACTGAATTGACCTGAACTAAAATTGAATTGAATTAACTGCGACACTGTTTCTGGAAAAAAACAAAAAAAAAACATGTTGCAGTCGAATTTTTTGAAATTGAAAAAAAAATAATAATTGGCGGACTCTCAGAGACAGGCATCTCAAAACCTTAGCAGATAAAATCTAAAATATCTGCATGGAACTCAGTCAGTGTCATCTGCCTCTAATTTAAAATCAGCAGCAAAGGCTGTCCTTTTGTGATGTAAATCTGCAGTGCAACCTGCGTCTGTGTTTAAGGGAGCACAAAAGTAATTCTATTAGTCTGTCTTTTAGTAGAAAGTTTCAGGGTCTCTTGATAGTCTGAACACTGTTCTGAGACAAACCTCCACCCAAACAGACAATCATCAGAGAAATCCTCACTGTTTTTACTCACTGTACTTCAAAACACATCTTTCTCCTTATGTGACATGTGTCTTACACATGGCCCTCCATTCCCCCTTTTGTCTCCTTCCCTCACATGGCGTTGTGCAACCTCCTGCTCACACTGTGATTTTCACATCCTGAGGTGGATCAAATCTCTGCAAATCAATATTATCTATTCATGTGGTTGCAGCTCATGTTAAAATGCCATTTCATACATGCACGCACGGAAGTCACCGCACCTATATAATTATACTCTGTATGTACGATGTGCCACCCCAACAACAGATGGACTCTAAATGAGTTTTGTTATTATTGCCAAATAAACTAAAGTTTATCTCAGCGAGCTTATGATGCACGCAGGAAGGAATATCAAGAACACCCATATAAATAATAGCCTTTGCTAATACCAGCAGTAAGTACTCAAATCAGTCAGACAGGGCCAGTTAATAGACCCATAGAGATGCTGAGGGTAGAAATGAGGGTAGAGGATGGAGAGAGTCAGTGGAAAAGTGAGAGGGAGGAGAGGAAGGAGGAAACTAGCGGAGAAAGCGAGACAGTGAGACTGGCCATTATAAATCATATCCGCTGTTGGCGCCGGCCACGTATCCTAGCAACCAGACAGACCTCTCCTCCATCCCCTTTCAATCTTCTGTTACCAGCTTGGTCACTCTTATTACCCATACTGCACTGGGCCATACCCCAAAAACTCACGACAGAGTGTGATTTGTGCTTACAGCTAACTGACTGATCTAGAGTGGGCTTGTGTGTTATGCTAATCAGACCTAATAGCAGCTGAGCCCAGAACAGTGCACTGTGAACAGACCCTGGTCCCACACACATACAAACACGCACTGATAGAAAACAGTGGTGTTCAATCTCCATCCCTCTCTGTCCTTCGGGTACTCTTATGCTACATTCACATTCTCCTTGGATGGCCATGGTGTTCATGTGCTTTTAAGTCTGAATGTGGGAACAACATGGATGCTGAAACCGTTTGACGCTTCCTATTACAAAGTGATTTTTGCTCCAGTACATTACCTGAAATCGCTAAAATACTGCTTGTACTGCAAATACTGCTAGTAAATAACTTTCCTAATTAATAGAGGTCACTCTACATGGACAGCAAACTAACCTACAAACCTTACAAATGACACATTAGCAAAAAATGTATATGTGATGTGATTTAGTACCATTAATCTAATGTTTCTAACCAGCAACCATGTAGTCCGCCATGTTTCTACCTGTATGATGTCAACAACTCGTGAAGCAAAATCTTCTCAGACTTTCCAAGTTGTTGTTCCGACTTCAGGTGGCGTTCACATGAATTTTTCCAGTTGGAAAATAATGTTTCTGACAGCACAAGAATGCATAGTTACTCATTGAGAGAATGCCAGAGATCATCCATGTTGTCCAGAGCTCCAGCAGCACTATGATCTAAGTGCCTTACCAACTTTATTTTATTAGGATTAATTAGCGCCCTGTTTTCAATTCCTCTGGCTAATTAGACCTCCTGTTCAGGTTGAAGTTGGGTGTGTAGGTATAATGGGAATGACGTGAGGTCACCAAACTGCATGTACTAATTAGAATGATGAAGGTTTTAATTGCCCCACCTTAACAAGTGCAACAAAACGAGTCCGTACGTGCACATACAGCCCTAACTGGGTCTAACTGGGCTTAAGTGAAAACCCCTTTGTGGGTTGAATCTGAAATAAATCCACAGGCCATGTCACAGTAAGAAAAGCACAGCTGTAGGTGTAAACAATAAAATTAATGATGGCTGAAATCCATTTAGCTGCTTCAGTTTTAGGGTCCTAGTATTATGCAGGCTGGCTCACTGTCACTTACTAGGACAGAGCTTCCTTTTAGTGACCTGTTTTTTCCCTATAAAATGGCTGCTGTGAAAAAGGCCTATGGGGTTTACTGTACTTGTACTAACAGGAATTGATGCAACACGTCAAAATGTTTTCTTTGGGCAATGCTTTGTGGGACAATGGTGTACATGAACAGCACAGAGAATACTTAAATTTGTCAACTTTCCATACACACAAGTCACGCCACTCGGCAGCCATCTTGTTATCGTGTCCGGGCAGTTATTTCGGACTAACAAGATCAGGCCCTTATCTAAATGAATGGGGAGGGAGCCATAACTGCACTTTCAATGGTCACCGGGACATAAAAACTGCGCACTAAAATCTGATAAAAAAAACGGTTAAGGTTAAGGTTTAAAAAGCATTTTCCCCCACAGGTTATATTATGGGATGCATGCATGCATGCGCATGGTTTCACAACGCCGACTTCATTTACAGCTCTATCCAGAGTGTCGGTGACATGGCTTAATATGTTTCCCGGCTCGGCTGTTACAAAGCAGATGACTGGCTTTCTTGCAGAAGGGGCGGGATATAATTGCCATCTTTGGCATTACAGGCTTTCTTCATATAATTCTATTCAGATTTCTTTAAGTGACGCGTCTCCTTCCTAAATTATCTCTGATACACTACATACAAGACCTTAGAACTGGTCTGTTGTACAGAATCGGGACACAGTTTTGTTGACAAATCCCAGTGCAGCTTTTTTTTCTGACCACCTTAATTTTAATAATATGAGGACTGTATTTGGTTTCTGTACAACATTTGGTTTGAATTGTATTCAGGTTGACAAGATGACGTAAACGTGTTTTAACATCCTTGACTATTATTACCATTGGATAAAAGCCTCATTCTGCACTGCACTGTGAGCATGTCTGTCATATTTCTACTGACCTCTGCGTGCAAGATCTCCACTGGATTCCTGCCCCCACTAAAGTGGTACTACCCGAGTTCACACTATACACACCTCCAGGGACAATCAGTTAGATTACACAATCAGACAATTTAGACTAAATTGTAATGTAATTGTCCAAGGATAAATAAGACTGACTCTCTGTTAAGACAATTTACTGCCAGGGTTACTGCTTTTCAGCCACTGATAAAACAAGAGGAAGAGGATATGCTGTGTAACCTCTAGCTAGCATGACTAGCACTAGCATGAGAAACACTGAGCAGGCCGGCTCAATGCTGCAGCTTTATGCCGTCTCCTCACTAAAAGCTTCACCCAGTTACTTGTCTCCAGACAGCTACAGTCTTATACTACCGCTGCTCCTCCATGGGCTTGACTACAGCCTCATTGTCTGCTGACTTATGAAATTTTGAGTGCTCAGCAGAGTGGACGAACAGCAACACACAGAGAGGAAGAGTGTGTGCATCTATGAGAGGAAAGGAAATGAACCACTCAGGAACCACTCAGTCAGCCCATAGTCCGAGAGCCACCACAAGTGGGTGGTGTGAAGGGAAATTTGTGGACAAAGTAGCTTGAGAGTGTATGTGAGAGTTAATGTGTGTGTGTGTGTCTGAACACTAATAGAACAGAAAGTACGCCACCTTGTGGACCAGGACCGGCAGGGCTCTCCTCAAACTGTGAAAGAGAAAATCTCAAATCATTTATGAGGAAGAGGGACGGTTTTGCAACTCACCACTGCATTTGAGAAGTGATTATAGAGAGGGACTTGCCACCATGTTGGAGAAATGAATACCTGAGCAAAGCTTGTCAGATGTAGACTTGTTTCTTCTTACATAATGTATATGACGTATGTTGTTTGTAGATTCATTTAAGTCTTATACCATCCTGAGTTCATTAGAGGGCTCCCAGTTCCTGAGGTCTCCAAAAATGTCACAAACGCTGACTCCAGAATCATTTCTTGAAGGATGCTCCTGACCTTTCACAAGAATAATGCCTCCGTAAATCTGTAAGATAAACCTAAAATTCAAGACTTAATAAGATTCAGATTAAGCATAAAAGTTGAAAAAAGGAGAAAGTAAGATAGCAAAAATGGTTTCCTATAGCAGCAGGATCATACTGTACACTCAAATCCTTGAGGATAATGAATTTAATTAACTTTTCCTTTCATCTCTGCCCTTATCTTAAATTATAATAAGAAATCTATGCTGATAAGCAAAGGTTTAATCTCTATGCCAGCAATTGTGTTTGTCTGATATTAATTTAAGGGAAAGTCAAAGTCATCTCCCTTGGTTTGTCATTGTACAAGACTCACAAGACACAAATACTTTATTTTTTTACCCCTTTCTAGGCAGTGTTGGTGAATTTGGTGAAATTTCTTGATCTGTTTAATTTTAATTAACCTCAAATTTCTTTTAACAGCAGTTTAATCAAGATCAGTTGTTTCGTGAAAACTAATATTGGAAAATATGCCTCAAGCTATCCAAAAACTAGCCAAAATGTTGACTGTTTAGCTGCTTAAAAATGGCATTTTCTCAAGTTTGTTCAAGTAAAATGTGTATATATATATATATGCCAAAGATATTTTGGAAAATTGTGGCCCAAACTCCATTAACTGCTAATCTTAATTACCCCATTGTTAACTGTATATTCAGTACAGTTTTTGAGGCTGTAACTAAAACCTTAATTGGAACTACAGGTTAAATTATGCTAATTGACATGCTAATATGCTAGCCTTACAAAGCCTTACATGTTCTTGTATTTTACATTTATTCATTAAATGTTAAATGGCTAAATTCTTAATTTGGGGGACTTATGGGATCAATTACGTCTTGTATAATAGTAGTCCAAATTACCTCTGTTGTATAAAACTAAACTGGCACTGGCCCACGTGAGACCATTCTGAGCTAACTTTAGGTAACTTACCGTTCAGCACAGCAGAGGTCCAGACCAAGCTGCCGCCTTCAGGTACAGTTGGACATACTGTTGAGCTCTGGGAGAGCAATTGACAGATTGCTAAAGAATGTTGCTATATTCACAGCAGAATTAAGGTTTTTATTAACACATTACATTCTAAGTTAATCACATGCTTAACAGATACATACTTGGTAAAGGGTACTTTAGTTGTACTTGTTGAATCGACATTTTAATTAGATTCTTTGCGGGATGTACTTAAACGCACCATAACACATTCGGACACATTCTATTTTCACTTGGTCGCGACACTTTCAAAACACCATGCGAAGGATGGCACAGGAGATACGACCTACCAAGGAGAAGAGGTGAGTTTTTCTCCTTTTAAACGTTTTTATTTGAAATTGTCTTCATGTCGTCGTTGGTTTATGTAAGTTTACATGTTTTCCCCCGTGCATACCGTTTCTTGAACTAACGTTAGTACTCACTCCCTCAGATGTGGCTTTCTTTACAAACAGACACGGACACCATCATGGTCGCACTCATAAAGCTGTCTCTGTTACTTAGTCAAGTACTTAGTTCTTAGTCAAATATTTAAATATTGTTGAATACCACTGTCATCTGGTTAATTCTGGGTATAAACTGTTCCCCATGGCAGATCCTTATTGTAATAGAAAAAAACTTTATTTGACCCCGGTCATGAAATCTTTGCCTGCCTTTCTGTTCTAAAAGTTGAGTTTGTGTTGGTCTAACTTAACTGTCTGTTGATGCAATTGAGCAGTGGCTACTATGGATTTCTGTAAGTTCTTAAGTTATCTTTTAAGTTGGAAAACAAGTCAACATTAGGTTGTAATAGTCTTAATGACACAGGATGTAAAAAAAAAAAAAAAAAATCCAAAGTCCAAACTAAGTGTCTGGGCTTCTATCTATTGACTGTATGCTGTCCAGTTTATCCTATAATGAGATTACGAGAAGCACTGTATAGGTTGAATACCTGCAGCACTGATAGCAGAAATGTCAAATGGTCAAAGTTTTGTTTAGTTTATCTTTGTTTGCATGTACTTCATGTGTTCTCTGCCTCCTTGGCTGCCTGTTTTCTACCTGAATCAAAGCTCCTGGATGTTAAGTTGGCTTCCCTCTTGGTGCCCTACGTCTCCCTCTCAGCTAAAAGATGCAGAAGAAAAAATGCTCAAGAGTAAGTGTGTCTGTCTTAAAGCTGAACCGCTTGTTTTTTGTTTTTCTTTCTCTTAAAATGGGGGGGGGGATAAACCCCCACCACACCTGGTCTTGAACAAGTTAAGTGGTTAAATGGGATGCATTTCCCACCCATATCCTCTCTCCCTGTCCCATAATCCCCTCCACTGCAGGTGTGAAGCAGACTTTCTCCAGGCAGCATGTCCAGATATCCAACGGCAACTATCTGTGGACATTAGCTTTTTCCACTCGGCTGCAGCCATGCTCTCTCCACCAGCCCAGACCTCCTCTGGTCCTGCTGCACGGTTTTGGAGGCGGGGTTGCACTATGGGCCCAAAACTTGGACACTCTCTCCAGCAGTGGTCCGGTCTACGCTCTGGACCTGCTGGGCTTCGGCAGAAGCAGCCGCCCTGTGTTCAGCACCGACCCAGAGGCGGTTGAGGAACAGTTTGTGGCAACCCTGGAGGAGTGGAGGGAGAAGGTGGGACTGGAGGAAATGGTGCTGCTGGGACACAACCTCGGAGGATACCTGTCGGCTGCCTACACACTCAAATACCCACACAGGTGCTTTGGTGTGTGTGTGTCTGTTGGTGGGTGAGAGGGCAAAACATTGGTCATGCAAGTCGTTTTCCAGTTTTTAAGGCATCTTATTTCTTTTGTATAATAAAACAACGAACAAAATGGCAGCTAATCCCCCCCTATTTGGATAAATCTTCCCCAAATTACAACAAAGTCAAGTTTAATTTGTTCAGTCTGAAGTACAGAAATTAAATGTATGCTCTAATATAATGTGTTGCTCAACAGCAGCTAACATGACTCTTATCAGACACTAAGAACAACATGTCAGAGGAGTGTAGAGCTTCCACACAAACACAATTATTGGAAAATAAGCTAATAGGTTTTCTCCCACATTACAAGTGCCAAGTGTTCTTATACAGCTTTAAATTATATATCTTAAATAAAGCATTTTGTCTCTTGGCATTTACTTTCAAGATGTTGTTGAACGTTAGGTTGTTGTGCACTTTATCTAGTGAGGAACTAGCCACACAGAACTACTTTGAATTATGTTCGGAACACATTTGTTTTTCGTTTAACATTTGTGCCAATTGGGAACGTAATCCTGCTATTTATAATATCAAAACTCTGTGAAATCGTTGTTGTCTTTTGTTGACACTCCATCTGGTGTGTGTGTGCGCGCGCGTGTGCGTGCAGGGTAAAACATCTGCTGCTGGTGGAGCCGTGGGGGTTCCCAGCTCGTCCAGATAACCCCAACCACAACTCCATCCCTGTGTGGATCAGAGCCATGGGGGCTGTTATGAGCCCCTTCAACCCTCTGGCTGGACTCAGACTGGCTGGGCCTCTAGGTCAGCACACATACACATACTTGGCACATTAACACATGTGTTCTTCCGCTCTTTATTTTATATTCTGTATACAAATGTTGAGGTTTGGCTTGCTAAAGATGATTATATGTATATCAATTTTATTATTTATGTGGGTTGAAAGGCTTGAGCTGCAAGTTCTGTTTTAGTTTTTATATAAAAGAACTGTCCTTTGTCATCTTCTAGGGTGGGGAAGTCAGGGGGAAAAGTTTAATGGCAGGGAGGACTCGCACACAGAACAAAAGAGATTTAGACTAGAGGCTGGATTAGTGGTCGACAGATATGGGTTTTCCAATGGCTGATGCCAATATTTAGAGAGCATGGCGGCCAATATATAATGCAGACATCAAAACAAAGACAAATCTTGTATAATTCTGTTATTCATGCAGGGTACAATCTAATTAACATATTATCTTAGCCAGTAATGTGTTATTTTAGATCATTCATGAAATAGAAAAATTTATTAAATGCTTTGCTGTCATTTAGGATGATATATGGGCCTTGTTAGTGCAGGTATTATAATATTTCTACTCGATACATTGCAGGGCTGTACAGACAGAGGGGAAAAATGTGCTAACGTTTCAGTCCATGTTGGACTTTCCTCTGTGCAAAATATGGCATGCATGATGAGTCACCCTTTATATGGGTTGCTGTACATGTGCACCTAGTCACTGATCTAGAGCTTGATTGAACACCCATGAAGCCAGTTCCCGGCAGGTCAAGTCATCAAACACATCAGAATAAAATAATCCCATGGTGTTGACACATTCTCATACAGACTGATCATATATAGAATGATTGCCATCTGATTTAGGATCAGACCTGCGGATAGCACTTTTAGGTCCACAATTTCTAAATACAAGTTTCCTCCTTGTTTTTCCTACTCTGTTGGATGCCACATTTGGTACATGCAGTAAGGTAGACAACATTACCAGAGCTGGATGTTTTGATGATGCATATTTGGGTCACAAAGCTAGTAGTGTGTGTTTTTTACAAAAAGAACTTGCAGCACAATTTCACCTCTACCTGTGGCATTGTCCAAATGTCCCTGGTGGGTACAGTTTGTTTTATTTTCTTTATTGTGCGTGTCTGCATGTTACCATTGTGTCCCAAACATTCATTACTCCAAAAAATGAGAAAAGTGGAAGATCTTTGCCAATGTCGTCAACAGATGAATTTAACAGAACGTTCAAAATCTCACGCCCACACGTTGTTAAACTGTTTTTGGGTTTACAGTTGGTCAATAGTTCATTTCTATTTTTCTCATAAGCCTTTGCAAATGCCTGATACAAGACATCTCGTGGATACCCCTCTCACCAGAAATTGATCAGAGTTTGTGAGCTTCTATTTGGAAATCTTCATCCCTTGTGCAGAAGCGTATTGCCCTAAGAAACAGACGGCCCTACAGTATTTTTTTTTTTTTTTTTTTTTTTTTTTAGGGCTAGACACTTTTCAGATGGCAACCATTCTGTTTAAATTTGGCATTATGTGGCCTTTACATGATGAATCATCATCTGTTGGAAATGTGGATTCAATTTACAGTCATCCTAGCTGCTTAAATGAAGAAGTCCCTTAAACCTGCATTCTATCGAACAGCCAGCAGGGTGCGACTCTTCTGGTTGCAAAAAGAAGTCCGGCTTCATTAGAAATAATGTTAAAATTACCCCACTTCTCAGCTGATTTTTATTTTGTATTTATTTTGTATTTTTTTTCACAGTAAACTCTTTTCTAATGAGTTTATGGTCTCAATGGCTAGTTTTGTGTCTTCTTCAATACAACAATGTTCATTTAGTAAATTATGTTCCCATTTAGGAAAATAGACCATAAAGCAGAGTATGATTCAGGGCTTGATTATCTATGATTGACAAATCGTTACCATGGCGACCTGTCAATCAGGCTAGAGTGACTCAGTATCATTCCGGTTAAAATGACAGTTAATGTCATTTACCTGGCTAAGCAAACTAGCTAGCTCAGCACACGGCTGTTGGCTCCACCGTCTCGTCCAAATATGGTCACGTCCGGTGCCACTGGTTGAAAACTCAACATGGCGGCGCCCTATTGGCCAAACTCGAGGTTTAAAACTTGCAGTCCAAGACAAACAAACGGGTGACGTCACAATGACAACGTCCACTTCTTATATACAGTCTATGGATATGACCTGTTTTCTTTGATTCTGGTCGGATTGTCTTTCCATACCAGTGGACCCCATTCCCAGTGTACAAGCTAACATTTGTATCCTTATATGTTGGTCAGTATGAGAATGTTTGTCAACTTGACCTGCTGGCAATTGGCTTTATGTGTGAATAGGTGTGCCTGTAAAGTAACCCATATAAAGGTTGACTCATCATGCATGCTTCATTTTGCACTGAGGAAAGTCCAACATGGACTGATGTCTGTCCAGCTCCGGAATGTATCAGATTGAAATATTTAAAATCCAGACTCCAGTCTGAATCATTTTGGTGCTGCAATTGAGGCCTGCCTTGCTGGGCTATTATTTAAATAAATAAGTGCATGACTGTACCACCTCATGCCAATGGTATTGGTGTTTTGTTTTTGTTTTTTTGTTGTTTTTTTTTCACATGAAACACATGCCCCACTCCTGCAAACCCTTTTGCTTCTCAACACACAAATGATGTTGCTGCTTGTCCCCCTGGTTCTTCGTCACAATCGCTCTGTTTGTTTTCACTTGTCTGAAATAAGGAACATATTGAAGGTTTATTGCTCTCCAATTAGCCATTATCTCTTTCTATCATCTGCCTTTTGGAAAAATCTCTGAAACGTCCATCTCTGTTAGTACCAGAAGAACAGTGTCCTTTTCCTAGAGAGGTCAGAAGAGGCTGCCAGTGTTCTTGTCAACGGTCTGGTTTGTTTGCAGTTATCATGCTAATATGTGGAAGTAAATTTCTGTGTCTTTTGATCTCCAGGTCCAATGCTGGTCCAGACAGTCAGATCAGATTTCAAGCAGAAATACTCTTCTGTGTTTGATGACAACACGGTATCTGACTACATCTACCATGTGAATGCTCAGACCCCAAGGTGAGAAACGTTTCTGAGCCGATATGTACTGCTAATTTATTTTTCTGACAATGTACAGTCTCCAACTTTTTTTCTTTGTGTTTCAGTGGAGAAACAGCCTTTAAGAACATGACCATTCCCTATGGCTGGGCTAAGAGGCCCATGCTGGAGAGGATCGGCCAGGTTGAGGCTGACATTCCCATTTCATTCATCTATGGATCACGCTCCAGCATCGACAGTGACTCCGGATGTGCGCTCAAGAAGACCAGACCAGATGTGGAAATTAGGGTAAGTTCTTTTAAAATATTTTTTACAGCTGATAATGTGCTTTAAAAGAAATATCCATGGCAAGATGAAGGACAGCATGATCTTATTTTGCTTTGTTTGAGTAAATCCAAAACTGAAAGGACATGGAGGGTCCATTTTCAAATGTGGAAACATCCAAATTGAGATTTTGTGCTAGCTATTTCATGGAAGGAATACACTCATTTTGTATACATTTGTATCTACATACATTTTGGCATGTTAGGTGCGCCAGCTTTATCTCTAAACAGCTTACACTTTCTGTTTAACTGTGTGTTTTGTCTTTGCCAGGTGATCAGAGGAGCAGGCCATTATGTTTTCGCCGACCAGCCTGATGACTTCAACCAGGCAGTCCTTCAGATCCTGACGAGGACAGAGAAGGAAAAATGAAGGAGCAAGAGCTCCCTAGTTGAGATGACACAGTGTCTAACTAAACCAAACACATTACGCAGCAGCAGTTACAGGTACTTTACGCCTCTTTATCTTCCCTTTACTCTGAAGAGACCCATCACTAACTGAGGACACTTAGGCTCGAGGCTTTGGGGTCAAAAGGTCATATGATCCCATGGGTTTCTTTATCCATCTTCATGTAAAGGAGTTGTTGTAAATAAATGTGATATGCAGTCTGTGTTGCTCACTTAGTATTTTTTTCTGTTCTCATGTGGTTAGAGCTCTCTGTGTAAACTGGCATCCATTCTGAAATCTGAACTCTGAGAAACTTGTTGGGCAATGGAAAAGAAGAGAAATCATCTATCAAGGGAATATCTTATTTTGGGTAGAAGTCTAGGCAAAGTACGGATGTTCTTTTCTGACCCCTCACCCGCTCTGTGAGAGATATGAGGGATAAGTAAGTAGAGCAGAGGGCTGGGGGGTTTTCAAGAAACTTCCTCACCTCTCCAGAGACGCTATGACTGAGAGTAGCCTGCAGGTGGCAGCACTGTAACAATACATTAGCTTCCCCCTCCTCTTGCAGAAGGGTGACAGTGAACTCCATACAAAGCAGCCTCACATGCATGCTGAGTTGAGTGACCTACTCAGGAGACCTGGACAGTGATGCTTTAAAAGCAGTGTGACGATCTGCTCTCTGCTAAGTCACAACTGCAGTGACAGAATAGGGTCAGAGATGTGTGTTGGACTAAAAATAGGCCTTCTGTTAAACAACTTGGTCCTTATGGGGGTCCTTTTATTTAATTTTTTGAATGTGAGTCTGCAAAAATAGGTGGAGCAAGGAATACGTTGTTTTAATTGGACATCTGCCCTTTTTTATGTTACATTTTGTGATTCGCACTAATGCACTCAATTCTTCATTCACTCAATCATTTTTACATTATAACGTGATAATTCTTCACTGGGATTGTTCAAAGGTTACTGCGAAGCAAAACAGAACCATATGGCCTTATTTAAATACTTACAAGTTTTGTCAAGGGGGTTTAGGCCTATTGCAATGGACGCTGTAGTTTCTCCCTTCATAATCAGGTTTGCCTCAGCTGTAAAAGAGCACTTTACTGATTAGCATTGCACCCCTTTAAGCTGATGATACACAGAGCAACTTTTAGAGCAATCATGCAGGGCAACGTTGCCGTCATTGGTAATGAGTAAAGATTACTATCATAATCCCCTTCCCCCACCACTCCGCCACCTGCCCTGCACCGCCGCTATCCGTTTAAAACATAGTCAGACTTGCCAATTGCAAGATTGCCCAGCAACATTGCTCAAAAAGTTGCCTCGTGTATCATCAGCTTAAAAGTTTTCAGACTCAAGATGGACAGTTTACTTTTAAAAGGGATCAAAAGCAGTGCAAAGATGTTATCTTTTTTTAAAATTTTTATTCCATGCATTGTCAAAACCTAGTGGCAGTACTACCCAACACCTGTAAACAGACTTTGATGTGTAAAATCGGTGGAGTTCCTGTTTAAGGTACCCTATAGGGTTTTTCACCGCCAGTAGCATTGGAGCAGTGTTTTTAAGAGTGGGTGCCTGTTTTGCTTGTTAGGTGCACATGGGCAAAAAGATGCACATTCCTGCTGTCAGTTTCACCCTATCCCACTGAGTGATGTGGGGGATAGTGTGCAAACAAACTTACCAATATGCCAACAAAGGCAAGGAAGAAGAAGACGGCTAGCTAGCAAACATGGATGTAAACATTGCTTGATTAAAAAATATTTTTGAAAATCTGCTTTGCAAGTGTTTTATGATGAAGGGAATACATTTAACCTATTTGTTAGCCCTCAAGAATGCACGCAATGCCAAAATGCTAAGACTAAAACATAAGTTTGTTCAAGACCAATCAACAGGACATCCTAACACAGTGACTTCTTATTTCCAAAAAATGTCTGACAGTAGGATGCAGACAGTGAAAGATTGTATTAGAGGCTGACGTTTAGTGAACTAATAGAGCAGAGAGTTGATAACCTGGAGATATATTATCTTGAGCACGGACCAACCCCTCTGTTACCTCTGCCAGTCTGTCATTTCAAAGGCATCAACCCTGTTCACCCATACTGTCTCCTGGCAACAGGGTAGCCACGGAGACAGAGTCTTTTGGATCACCAACCTGCAGGAAGTGAGGCTGTGGTTGGACGGGGTAATTATGGGTTGTTTGTTTATTTTATTTTCTTGAAGACGCTGGCTGGCTGCTTATTAAGGCAGCGAGGACAATTCAGCAGGAGCTACATGGTCACTGCCTCTTGGGGTTAGAAACGTGCACGCGCGATGTGCCCAGGCCTCTGTCCATAATACTCACTTAATAAGATTTCAGGCTTATTCATCGTGTCTCTCTCCGTCACCCACTCAGTCGCATTAGCACAGAATCATTTCATTAGGAAAAGTGAGAAAAGTGACAGAAGTGTTCATACTGAGTCTGGATATAATTGAAGCTTGAAGCCCTGAAATAACTGCACATGAAAGGTGTGTGCACACAGGAACACACACTGTTGCACTGCTGCTGGCAGTTCTCAGTTTATCTTTAATCAGCATCACCACATACAGGTTTGTGAAGCCAAAGCATCAGGAGCTCTGTATAAAATGCCGACAGTGATATCTCTCCCTGATTTGCAAGACCAAACTGATTTCACTGATTATTCCATTTTGGGTCCAAACCCATAGTTTTGGGATCAGAGTAGACCTGTAGCTGCAGTCAATACATGAACACAAATTATGATATAAGGCTATCCTGGAGCCATACAATTTGTGTTCATTTTTCATGTGACCGTCCACTAGTGTAATGAGATGCATGCATCACACACAGACAGCTCCACTGCCCTCTTGTCTGAACAAACAATTATAGTCTGCTTATGAGTGACTGATGATATTTACAGTCCAGGGATTTATTTTTACCACAGAGTTGGCAGCCAGACTGATATTTACACAAAGAAAAGGACAATATTTCAACGAAATCTGTGCAGTACAACTTTGTTGGGAAATGAAAGTGATATATATCTCTATATGCAAGTTAGTCTTTTATGCTGCCACTGATCTGAGAGGAACAGTCATTTTTGCAAACTCCAAAAATTGTCTTTATGCGTTGAGAGCACTTCACAGCTCTCACATTACACCAAAGGCGTCGGAGTCTAATGATCACAGGATTTCGATTCAGGAAAGACTAACGGAGCCAGAGCTGGAGTTTGCCAGCTGGTTGGTTATTCTCTACAGACACAGCACAGGAAAAGCTGTCGATGTGATGACATCTCTTCACACTGCTGAAGGAATGAAATGGATCCAAGGAGGCATTGAGACTTTTACACTGAGACTCGTGCGAAGGCATCTCATCAGTGACATCACTGGGCCTGATAGTGAAGTGCTCCTAATTCATGAAATCCTGTAAAGGTGTAATTTCTCTTTCTTCCATGAAGCTACTGATTCTGAAGGACTAAATGTGGTCTCTGAGCCACAGCCTGTCACTCAGCGAATTATCATGCCAACAGTTTGTTTACATGGATTAATAAAGACAGCTTTCCTCATCCTAGTAGTTATAAATAGTATTCCATTATCATTATTATTATTCTTTATTTAGATGGTTAATATATCGATTTATCATTCATGACCCCATACTGAAACTGTAAACATGGTCAACAGAACTTTAGTCTAATATGGAGAGGGCTATACCAGAGACATTATGACAATACTAATGAATTGACTTCACAGGATGCATAAGAGAACTAAAAAAGTAATGGTTAAAATTGATGCAGCAAAGGTCAAAATATCTTCACTTTAAAGCAGCTATAATCAATATTTTTATCACAGTGGATTACATGACTAAATGTGAAAAGGTCACTCATAGTGATGACGCAACTGACAATTAGCACCCATCTAGGAAGTTCCCCTCAGCTCTACGAAGCATTTTAGCACCTTTCAGCTAATTGTTTTGGCTTTATGGCCACAACTTTACTGATGGAGTTCACTCTCACTACTGTGATCAGGTTGTATTTGGCAGCAGGCAGATGTTTTCAGTCTAAAACCTACTGCACACTAGCTGCCAGGCACCAAATAACAGAGTTAGCGACTAGCTTAGTGGCTAAAGATATTTCCTTCAGGAGTGGGTAGAACCAAAAGAGAGCTGTGAAAGAGAGTGAATATTTAACTTATACTCATCAGTTGGCCAGAAACACGTCTCCAAGTTAATGATAGCTAATTTTGCATATAAAAGGTGTTAATATGTCAGTATTGTGTGCACAGCTTGTTTTCACTGCTGCCAAGTGGCCAAATTATTGCAGGTCTTATTTGGGTAAAGGTGGGGTATGCCATTCTGGAAAAATCCAATGCCATGACATAGAGTGAACAACGACACAATTAGCTAAGTTGTGGGTTAGCAAACTGTCACTGGAGTTGCTGTGCAAAGCTAATACACAGAGAGGACAAGGCAGTCCAAGAGCCAGCACACCAGCTCCAGACAGTGATACTCACAACTAACATCACAACAACAGCATGTCTTGGTGAACTAGAAAGTAAGCTGAATGTCTGTAGGCAAGTAATTTGTTACCTGACACACAAATCATGGCTACAATGGCTGGAATAGTTTCTCATTGCTTGGCACAGGCCACTTTCACTGTATTTTGAAAAGGACTGCAGGCTACAAATGTTTATTACTTCAGAGAGAGCTTTTTGGGGGGGAATTTCTGCTTTTTGGATTAGGACCCTGTGTGGGTTTTTATCTAAACAAGTGTGGTTAACATCCAAAAGGCACTTCTCGTAATAAGATCATTAAAAACGGGTGTCCTTCAGAACCAACAGGATGTAGCTTGGGAGGAAGTCTGTCATCCCCAGTGATGTACTTGAAACCAGTAATACCTGTCTTGTCAACTCAGCTTCATTTATGCTTCCCCGGACTGCAATTCATTTAAGTTTAGAATATTTTCTTTCATTATCTGAGGAATTCTCATATTCTTAAAGCTGCAACTTTAAAACTAACCTGCAGTCATATCTGCCTCTGTGCTGCTGCATTATTTCCTGTTTAGCAGCAGTGTTGTGGCTGCCTGTTATAGCTTTGATTCCCAGTGCTCTCCAGCTGTGTCCTGCCTTCACAGTTCAAAAGTGGATTTTATTTTTCACATCCATTTCCTTGCTTTTGCCCTGCTACTTCTATTCCTGGTCATATAATTTGAGTTTCACAGGGTTATTTGTTGTTAAATTGCCACGGTGTCTGCTGTCCTCTATGTAATGTTTGTAATAACTGTTCTCTTTTGATACACTCTCTCGCCTTTTCCCAGTCTGTCACGGGCCATGGCTAAGGAAATTTTGCCTTTTAATTGACTTGCTCTCTCTCTCTTTCTCTCTCTGTTTCTGGCAGTCCTTGGTTTCACATTGTGTGAGATGGGCAAACACACTGTTTCAGTAACAGTCTTAGCAAGCCTACAGTGAAGTCAAATGTGCACCTACACACATACACATACACACACACACACACACACACACACACACACGCAAAGTGTCAGATAAAAAAGAACAGATCAGATGGCCAAACAGTGTCTGTGTACTCTGAGACCAACTGTGTGTGTGCTGGTTGGGTATAGTCACAAAGAAATTAAGTTTTAAAATAACGGAGGAGTGTAGTGTCTCAGCAGGATGTATTTATTCTAAGAGGTGTGGGATCCGTCTGGCTTGCTGACTGTGTGTGTGTGTGTGTGTGTGTGTGCGTGTTAGAGAAGCTTTGTTCCTTACAGCAGTTTTATCAGCAGCTCCACTGACAGTCTGGTGGCAAGAGTTCAGCCTTAACATTCAGCTCCTCTGACGGTCAGAATAAATACTCTGCTGAGATACTTTGTTCAGTCTGCATCTTAAAGCAGATAGAGACCATACAATGTAAAGTCATGGCAATGTGAGCACAGTTCAGAGGAAGCAAGTGCAATTATGCCTGATGACTGGCCTGATGTTATTGAACATACTGTCATTACACACCAGAAAAGAAATTGTGTTGGATGAAAAAGAACTATTCGAAGGGGAAGAAGGAAGGAAACAGTTTTATTGCTGGACAGATATCTGTGAAGTGTTAAAAATAGAAAGGGCTTATCTATGTGAACTGGGCCAGACCTTTTCAGTGTGTGAATTTTTGCCAGTCATTTTCATCTATTTGAATCCCTACAGCTCAACAATGTCCGACGTACATTGAGAACCGGTTCTTGTCAGATGGGGCTGCCATTGAGGGTAAGGGTTTGGCAAACCACCACATCTTCACTGCAAAATGGTTTTAATGTCAACTACTATGTTCATCTATGATTCGCTAATCAATATTTACCTGCATTCATTAATATTTTAGATATAAACATTTAATCAAGTGACTAATGTAAAGGTTAATGTGAGAGCGGTCGCTCGTAGAGCAGAAATATCACCCTATTTTAGCCATCTTTAGCTCATTGTTTTGGTTATACGCCCAACACATCAAATGTGTAACTGAGTCTCAGACGCTCTCATGAAACCGCTGTAGGCAGTTGTTTTAAGCACAAAAAGCTTTGATAAACTTAATTAACTTTAGCAACTAGTTAGCAAGCTGACAAATATTTTTGGAGTTGATGGTGAGAACAACAAGAGAGAGAAAATTGGACTTTGTTGAGTAGTCAGACAGACACACAACTCGGAAATAATGCTGATGTTGGACTGTCTCATCTGGACTGCATTTGTTAGCTTGTTTGAATGTTTTTCTGGCCCCCTAGTGGCTAAAGCAGCTTTAAATACACTTTTGAGGTACTTATTTATGCTACTGCACCACTACTTCCTTTTAGAGGATGATACTGTAGTGTCCATACCAATTAACGGAAAAGAAATAGCCTACTGTTTTACATCAGAACAAATGTCAGTAAAGGATTAACTTGAACAGGCTCCTACTGTTAATGCACACTGACCTGCCAGAACCAGAGAATCTGTCATCTGCCAGATTCATCTCCTGCATACCACACAGCTGTAAAAATCACAGAAGCTCATTTGGACTACATCTTGCCATATCCAACATGTTTATAACACATGTGGTATTTTGTACATAATTGTGAAATTTATGAAATCAATAGAGATATACAGAGAGAGGTGGAGAGAGATCAGGTGGCGGCGATGGAGCTCGCTGCAGTGACAGGATTGTGGGTAAGATGATAGGATCTGATTCCAGCACGTGCCCCGGCTCACACATGACATCCTCTCTGTGACACACTCTCCCCAGTGGTCCATTCACTTTTTGAAACCCACATGACAGCCTCGTCACCTGCTCATTTGTGCGTGTCCTACATGGCTTATGTGCCCCCAGCTTGTTTGTGTGTGTTACATAATTTGTCTGTGTATGTGTGCGTAAGCCTGTGGGTCACACCGGTTTACGCGGCGACTCTAGAACTCATCTGGTCTGATCTGATTTCCTCCCAGCCGGCAGATGTGGAACAGTAGCCCAGATGTTGCAGAGATTACAACTCCCTGCAGTGTTTGTGGGAAGGCTTTGAGACCATTCAGGAAAATAAACACAATGGGAGAATTTGTACACAGGCCTATTCCACTCTTCCTGCTTTCAGGCATCACAGATGACAGGATGGCAGAGAATGTTACTACTAACAGAACATAGGCACTAAAATTACCTCAGTCTTCATCTCTAGCACGTACTACATGTACCCTTTGGCCTGTATGTTAGCTGGTAGCTGGCAATTATGATGCTCAACTAAGTCTGGCAGTTTTGGATACACAGTTCACAAATAGTTAAGTAACACATGAAACAAAAAAAGAACATTACATTTTGAACTTTCTCTGTGTGCAGAAAATTGTTTCTGGAAGCGTTGCAGTATTGCTAATGCACCAATTTTGCAAAAAAAAAAATGCACTTCCATAATGTTGGGGGACTCACAAGAGGTGGAAAAAAAAAGAGATAAAAATTCAAGCAGCAGAAATATCTGTGCTACAGATTAAGCTAAAAAAAATACGCAGAGGTCTTTGTTATGACACCCTGGCTTGGTAAATACCTGTATCTTTCAAATTCGGTGTTTGCAACACAGGCTTTCTTGTAATATTCAGTTGCGTCCAAGCCTACTATGAGATAACCTTGATCACATGACTGGCGTTATTTTCTCAGACTTTGGAGTTTTCACAGGCTGAGTAGTTCTCTTAATGACAAATAAACTGATGAGTAAAGTTGGAAGGGTACTCCTTTAAATAGTCTCACTGTCTAAATTTTACTCATATACCACCATGGTGTATATAAAGTGTATTATAATATAAATGCCTCCAGGCACTCATGGATGGTTTTGGTGCCTATGCTCTCTTCACATAATTGGAGAAGAACTCACCGCATTTAATCTTATTTACCTGTTAAATTATATTTTCTATAATTGTCCCTATGTGTTTTTGGCAGTGTAGCCTTCTGTACACTGTGAGGACTTTTATTGATGGAGAACATTAAATCCTTAATTTTTATTTTTTTTAAAATTCTTCTTAGCTTACAAAGACAATTAGTCTAAAAACATCAGAATCAGCCTTAAAAAACACACACGTGTAATATGTGTGGAGTCACAGCATGTTATTATTAATATTTAATTACTCTCAAAAGCCTAATTTTGGTCTATTTGTCTGCCTGACTTTGATCAATTGTCTCACCCTACTGTCTCTAAACCTATGCACAGATATATATATATATGTGGACTGATAAAAGAAAACGTAAGTACACACCAATGTTCACTCACCAAAAGTCAAGAAACAGACTTCAGACGTCATTCTCATTGTTTTATTTTCATAGATCTCTATCATATACATACAGTACAATATGCTCAAGACAGATTTTATGGCACATCCATTTTCGTTGTACATTTTGCAGTCGCTGGTATTGGTTGTGTGAGGCTACAGTAAAGTGACCGTTTGAATCCATTACTTGGGTAGATACAGCAGGTGGATTGACCTCAGTGGGTAAGAATAAGGTTGCTACAGCAAAACACATGCACTGTCAAGTTATATATTCCACTAGGGGTGGGTCACAAATCCAGTTACACAGACTCATACTTGAAGGGGCGGTGTTATGTTCTACTGAAACCCCTTTGTTGTTTTTGTCTTGGAATACGCTACAACAGTGGCTACCGTGATCCTGGCAAGCTACGGGATATACAGGGTTTAGGTTCCACCCAGTAGTCATTGAATTTAAAGAGCTGCCATTACATGTATGATCATTTACTCTGTTTGGTTTCAGAGGAGATATAACTTCTATTTCAATGTTCTTTTTTGGCCATCAGACACATTTCTAACTCTGGGTTCAACCAAAACCTTGAATATCCAATAGGAGTGAAGAATAATGGTGTATAAGGATCTAGTATTCATGTTTCTACTGCAATACAACTTTACCGTCAATACTACAGGTACAAAGTACTGCTAGGTTATTCACATATGTACAAACTCTGCCGTGGAACTGCGCAGAGGCTTGACAAGTAAGTGTGCATTTTCTTTCTGAGTCTGCAGAGCATGTTCGAGATAGAAAAATAAAACAGTGATAGATTACAAAATACTGTGTGACACCATCATATATAAGTGCTGCTGTCCATTTCCCCCATTATTTGTCCTCACTTGAATGAAAACACAGTCATAACTTAACTCTTTCAGTCAGAATAAAAAACTGATAAAATGATTGTCTCAAAAAATAATTTAAAATATGATATTTTAAAAAAAACAGCATCAAGTACAACAAAAGACAATATGTAACATGATACTAAAACTCATCAGCTTTTCCCTTTTATCAGCTTATCCGAGTGATATAGAGGTGTGTGTGTGTGTGTGTGTGTGTGTGGATGTGCACAAAATGTGTACATACAGTATATAAGTGCATAAGAGCAGGGATGTGAGCACCTCCTGTATCCATTTCCATACTTAGTGTCTCTTATGTAAAATCACACCAGTGGGTTAAAATGTCCCCATAGTGTTTAATCTGTTGAAAGTGCTTCACATTCTTGGCATGGCACCCAGTCTCCTCCATGGAGACCTTTTGCGTCTCTAAATGTGCAAGGTTGGCATTTGGACTTTTTCCCAGTTATCCACCGTAAGTGTTAAATAATAGGAAACAGCATAAAATGCTAAAATAAATTCACAAGCCAGTGGTGGCATGATTGAACAAAAGCAAGACAATAAGGGATGTACAGATGAACGCGGAGGAGTGTGGAGGTGCAGCAGCTGATGGAGTGGCTGTCTGCGCTCTAGATGACCTGGCAGCAGCTGTGTGGTGTAGGGGTACAGAGCAAACCCTCTTTGGGGCTCCGGTGGATGTTGACGGACAGAGTCTTGTCGCTCAGAGGCATCTGCAGCACACGGTTCTTCATGTTCCTGTGGTTCTGCCTGGCCAGGTCCAGCTCTCCCAGCCTCAGTGTGCCCATGCAGGTGCCCTCCAGCAGCGGGTCCGCCAGCGCGTCTCCCAGCGGGGGTTGGTGGTGGTACAGATTCCCCCTGGGTGATGGGCCACCCAGGAGCGAGACCTTATCCAGGCTACCGGTGGAGCCGCCCATGCACATCCTCCACATGGGACGGTCCTGGGTGTCCCCTCCAACAACACCGCCGCTGCCGCCACCACCCCCACCCCCACCACCACCACCACCGCCACCTCCCCCTCCTCCCCCTGTCAGGTTGTGGAACTGAGAGCTCAGGCACAGGCTCATCAGCTTTAGGCTTTCCACCAGGCCGCTGGCAGCTTTGGCTGTGCCCTTTCCATGGCCTGAACCTGATCCAGGACTGGCACAGTTGGAGGGACTGCCCTGCCCTGACCCCCTTTTATCTCTATCCTCTTTCCTCCCGTCTCTCTCATCCCCATGTCCACCTACAGTTGCTGTATCTGGTTTATGGTGACTTTCTGTCTCATCATCACTAGTCTCTGAGCTGGGGGTGAAAGCGGCAACCGGTGCTGTTACACACACAGTTGTGGGCGATGACATGAGCGTTGACGGTGATGGTATTCTAGAGTTCAGATTGAGGCTGAGGCTGGGTTTGGGCGGGCCAAGTGTATGCAGCTCCCTCCTTTCCTCCTCGTCCTCATCCTCTTTATCCTCCTCATGGATCTGGTTAAGGACTGGAGCACTCATACGGGATGTCAGCCGATTACCGGAAGAAGACATAGATGATGATGAAGACGAGGCTTTGCAGCGAAGCACCACCTGAGCAGGTAGTGCAGAAGGGGATAGGCATTTGTCTTCCTCCCCCTCTTCTTCTTCATCCTCCTCCACGCTGAAAAGACTGGGACTACGAGGTTTGCAAGGACCCACTGAGGGCAGAGAGCCCAGCCTAAGGGGGTTGGAGTGGGGCTTTCCGAGAGGCCTGAGCCCCCTCTCCTGGTTCTGTCGTGCAGGCTGCTGCTGGCTGGATGGTTGGTTGTGGTTCTCCTGCCGCTGGCTGAGGTCCAGCAGAGCCGTTTTGGGTCTGGGGCCTTTGTGGAGACTCTCAGCACTGCGGGCAGGGGACTGTGGACCCCCTGGGTGGGAGATAGCCGGACCCCCCAAGCCATCACTGACATCCTGGTGAACATCCACTCTGGTTGGCCAGGACTGCCTGTGAAGAGTGAAACACACAAGATTAATGGTGTCCCACAGACCCCCCCCCCTGACAGTTATCTTTGACCTGCAGTACCCTGGTTCAAGTTCAATATGAGCAAAAACTCTTTTGTTCCCTGTGCAATAACCTGCTTAATCTGCATATGTAATTTAGCATTTTGGAGATTGTTTATATTGTGTTCTGTATACTGTATGTACATTCACATTGTTGTACTTTTCCTTTCTGTACTGTTGTTTTTGTACTGTTATTCTACAATTAAAGTTTGGGATAATAAATTGACTGAACTGAACATACAGAACACAAGGTTTAGTGGGTTGAGCAGAATTAGCAATACTATATTTATGTTGAGAAAAAAAAACACAGGGAAAAACAGTTAGCTCGGTTCCCAAACACACCTACACAACTACAGCTACAGCTCCCTAATTAACACTTTGTACTGCTAAGAAATAATTAGAGCACATACAGTAACTCTAATCCCACAAATTGTTGTTTGTACATTTCGATCATGGTTTTGGTAGACTTGTTTTTTAAATTTGGACAGTGCCAAGCTAGCTCTTCCCCCATGTTTCCAGTCTTTGTGCTAAGCTAATCACCTTCTGACTACAGCTCCCATTTTTTAATCCCTACAAGAACCAAAGTGTAAGTGTGAGTTGAAGAGGTGCAGCTAGGCGGATTTTGTTACCTTCGGACAGAGCTAGGCTACCTGTTGCCCCTGCTTCCAGTCTCTATGCTAAGCTAAACTAATTCCAGCTGCTGGCTGTAGCTTAAAACTTACTGCACAGACACGAGAGTGGTATCAATCTTTTTATCTGAACTCTGAAAGAAAGTGAATGTGTATTTCCAGAAAAAAAGATTCCTTTAACTGACAGTAACATATCATTTTCTATATTTTTATATATGCTAGATTTGAACTAGAACGTTAAATTAATACATTTTAAATTTAATTCTGTTTGAGTGGTTTGATTTAATATCCCTCTTTTATTACAAGTAACATCACATTAATGGAATAGTCACAATCTAAGACGTTATAAGGACTTTGTCACAATGCACTTTTGTATTCCAGTCATTTAAAATCAAATACATGCTGAGAATAAGAAATATAGCATCGGCATCAGATGTCTAAAAGCTGGAACCTTACCTAAAGGATTAGCACGATGTAAACGCAGTTAACCAGTTGAGATAGTAACGTGATAGCGACTGCTTGGCTAATTACAGATGGGTGATCTTGCCTGGTGTAGAAGATATGAATAAGAGTAGACAGTGAATATCCTAATATTATATTTTTATATGGTGTATATTTCAGCATTAGTTCCTTAGCTCTGGTTAGCTTTTAGCCTGAGCCTGAGTAGGGGCTAAACACTAACAATATATATAGCTGCTAATGCTAAAGAGTATTAACATTTATTTGAAAATGTATTCAGTACCACTTAAAAATCCTTTTTAAAAATGTAATGCTTGTCCAATTAAAATGCAAGTCATCCTCTTTTATAAATGTTCTTGAAACTCCTAAATCTCCTTTCTTTAGTTTCACTTTCTCAATAAGGGAAACATAAGTTGTTTTCTCCTTTGTTTCAAGATATTTCAAGTGGTACGCCCCTGATAACGTCGCTGATCTGTACCCTCTCATATATTCTCAGTCTGTCTCTCATTCTCTGGTGAAAAAAAAAGGCTCTGTCTGCCCATCTGCTGTCAAAGTTGTCTTCTGGAAACTGACACAGCACTGCAGAGGCAGCTCTCTTGTCTATCTCAGGAGATGTGTGTGTGAGTGAGTGTGTGTGTGTGTGTGTGTGTGTGTCTGTGTGTGTGTCTGTGTGTGTGTGTGTGTGTGTGTGTGTGTACCTGAACTGGGCCTTGCTAGGGCTGGGTGATCGTGTCTGGCTGTGCTGCTCCTTCTCTTGCCTGTCCCTCAGCATCCTCTCAGCCAGCAGGAAGTATGTAGCCGTGATGTGGTTGTACTGATTCGACTCCAGAGCCCTGAGAAGATCAGAGAAATCAATTTGAATTCCAAAACATACACACGCAGTCAAACACACACACACACACACACACACACACACACAGGTTCGCACATACACACTCACTCAGCACCAAACCCTGACCGTGTGTCAAAAGGGAGTGACTGGGGTGGAGATTTAATTTAACATGACAACAGCTCAGGCTTGACTGCCAGCTGGTTGTTAATGGCAATTAAACTGTTGATGACACTTCATTAAGCTTTAGCTGGACTAGTGGACCATGGCGAATTTTTGGAGATTACACAGGAAAGAATAGCTGCATGTTAATTTATTTATGCACGTGTGTGTGTGACAGAGGGACACATACTCAGTTATAGTGTCTCGATCTGCGATGCCCCCCAGCACCATGCGCTGGATGATGGAGCCGTGCTCCTCCTCCGACAGGCTGCGATGGGACACCAGAGGGGTAGACATCTTGGTGGCCGGCGAGGGGTCGACACCTTGAAGCCATTTGTGGCCACCAATCTCCTCTAAGGTCGCTCGTTTCTTGGGGTCCCTCTGCAGCATATGGCCTATAAGACTGGAAGGAGTCACAGAGGGAATCAGTATTATGGAGGAGCTACAGAAACATCTGGCCAATACTAGCTGTGTTTAGATACGGACTAATGTTCCCATCATATTCTGGAAAAATTATATCATGTTCATGAGCTGGCATTTAGAAACAACACAAGGTCTTAAAGGGTAATTCCTGACATCTAGGTACATGGCCTTTTTTAAAACGACTCAGTCAGGGCAAGAAACATGGGCTCAGACATTTAGCCAGGTTTTAAACAAACCCAAGTTACACAAACTTATCTGGAACAGAAAATTGTAATATTGTAAAACTATAAAATTATTACTGTCCGTTTAAACATCTGTGATTGACTGGTTGAAATTCTGTTTCTTGACCCCCCCCTTGGAATACAATGTTGTTATGTTAAGTTCTAACAAAATTATTCCAATGTCCATTCTGCACACCTGTATTACATGATCAGGAAAGTCTAGCTGGTAGCCACACGGCCGTGTGGCTTAGGCATGAATAAAGCAGCTAGTGCCAATCAGCTGACACAAGCACAACTCCAGTGCCTGCTCCAACTATGCTCCATAGATCTGATGCACTTTATTCAGTAACATACTTTTGGTCTAATTGATCAGTGACTATTAGACATCAGCAGAAAATGTCACCTCTCAGCAGCTGATCCAAGAGCACTTTTATCAGTGTTTGCTTTGACACACCAGATCAGCCTACCTGGGATAATCCGGGGATAATCCTGTAAACAAGCTCTGCATCTTTACTGTCTGTTTTTGTAGTCTAGCTAATATAGTTGGAGCATAACTAACTTTGCTGGCTAAATCGGTCACACAAAATAGAAGTGCTGTATCCTCAAGGCCCCAGACGTAAGCAATTTTTTTGAGGGGTCAAACACATGAACCAGGGCGTGTGAGTATTTTGAAATACTGTGTGTAAGTCAACATAAACTAATGAAGTCATGTCCAAAAACAATGTGTGTTTTCAAAGCTATAGCCGTTCAAAATGTATTCAGCACCACTGTGTCCTGCTCTGGCTTGACGCATCGTTAAACCCCCTCGCATTGTTAAAAATAGAGGGACGATTTTAAAGGGTGCATTAGATACACTTAACGCAGCACTGCATCTCTGGCGAAGCAGCTGACTGCAGCACCGAGTGAAAGCAGGACAACGAGGAGGAGCAGCAGCAGAAGAGAGAGTGCTCCTGTCTCTCCCTCTCTTCTGTCTCTTTTCTTCACACATCTACAAACATGAAATATGCAGCACCTGCAGAGTACTCCGTCCATCTGTGTGGGTATGTGCGCGTGCGTGTTACTCACTCTCGGCATGCATGAGAGATGTGTGGAGGCACGGTGTATTTGCAGTCCATGATCATAGTGAGCGTCTCGCTGTCGTTAGCCTCCTGGAAGGGGGGCTGACCACAGACCAACATGAAGAGGATCACTCCCAGACTCCAGATATCTACAGAGACACAGAGAGAAAGATGTCTGTTGTGAACATAAAAAATGTGTACACATAATATGATAAGAGTGAATGTTTTAAGGAAGATGGTTACAGAAATGAAAAATAAAATTAGGATGACAGGTTAACAACGTGAAGCATATATGTCCTTTCTGCTTAGTGACCTAGATGTCAAAAAAAAAAAATTAATACACAAGAGCCGTCTCCCCCTCAGTTCAAATGAAGCATGAATCATATTCGATCACAGCCATTTCCATAAATATGTACTAGTTTAGGACACATCTGTCTAACCAAGGATGAGGCTCTGCACTGCTGCCTACCGCCAGCGTCACGCTCACACACACGCTTGCATGCACTCCCACATAAACACACCGTACTAGGAAAGTGGGTTAACGTGTTCATCCCTCAAAGCTGCATACAAACGCTAATTTCATGGAACAGCTCTCTTGGTCCGATTATCCATTTTAAAAGAGCAACTTTTTGCCCTGGGCATTGTCTGCCGCTCTGGTCAGCAGGATGTTCCACTGACACACATTCTGCAGTCAAATACCGACTATGAGCCAAGAGACTGCAAAATAAAAGCATACAGGTCTTCAGTCAGTATGTTTTTCGTGACTTTGGAAAAATTATCGCAAGATTTTGCAAATTTACATGTAGCAAAAACTAAATAGCAGTTAAACCATTTCTTCCTCTTTGTGAAAAGCATGAATTTCACCAAAATTCTAATAATTTCCCATAACTTTCTTTATTTTTAAAGCTGCACTACTTAGATTTTTTTGACCACATGGGGGCAGCAAACCAAGCTGTAAACACAAATTGACGTAAGGGGTGCGTTTGACTTTATGCAGCGCTTTGCAGTGCCGACTTAACGTGATGCATGCCGCTTAGAAATTCTGGTCGACTTTTGCCGGCGCTGCAAAACGTCACCATGTCACACGAGATTAAAACCTCGTGGGAGCAAGGAGGCTGCAGTTGTCAGAGCCAGTCGCTTTTCTCCGGCTGAAGTTCCCACACTCTACGGGAGGTAGAATGTGTCCGACTTGACGGCTGCGTTTTTATACCCCGCCCCTGTACTCGCTTGCAGCTCATATTTGACTATCAAGTCGGCGAAAGTCAGCCGCAGCCACCTCGAACGCACCTCTCGCCTAATGAACTTCAGGCCAAGAAGTTTCTGGGCAGCTAGTTGCTAACTTTGTCTGCCGATTTATCAGAGCCTTTTAACTCACAGCTAACAGCTGCCTGCTGAGGCTGGAGGTTGGTGAGAGCAGTGAGTATGAACCAAGACAGTAAAGTTGCGGGTTGTAAAACCAAAACAAGGTAAAGGTCAGGGGAACTGCAGAGTTGAGAATGAATTCTGTGGGTTTATCACCATGTGTGACCTCTTTCACATTATACATAGTAATTCGACTAATTTTTAATATGCAAATATTAATTAGTGCAGCTTTAAAGTGCTTATCTTTCAGTTTCTTTTTCTATTTTTATTGGCATTTTTGGTACTATGCACCTATTGCTGCGACTTTTCCAGACGTCACTATTTGATCAAACTGAGCTTAAGTGGGTTTATCCTCCCCAACACCCCTTGTGATATGTCTTCACATTTCTTCATATCACTGCAGTGTGCCAGGATGCGCTGGAGATTTCAATCTGGTAAAGTAAATGTGCCAGTTTACTGTGGGTGGCGAGTATTTATTGCTCTGAGCCTGCGAAGGAGCGTCTCATACTGCTGACGGAGGGAGCAAACGCTGCTGCAGTCCCCACCACCATCTTACCCCTAGCCAACGTATCCTAGCAACCGTGACCCTGCTCCCTCATTACTTGCGTCAGCGGTCGGCCAAACTTCCTTCCTCAATAACTTTATTTATAAACCAGATGGCTGACACATCTCTGGACAACGCTGTTTATGTCACTGTACATTAGCATCACGCGAACTAACTACGCCGGCTACTTATTGGCAATAGCCGGGAGTGTAAACATCCCTTTCTGCTGCTCTGCACTGCATTTTCACATGATTGCTTCACTAAGATAACCAACAACCACTCCCTTGTGTCTTGACATCGTTAACCCCGAGGCTGAGTGGGCCAAGTTCAGCATCCTGTCCTACTGATCATTATGCAACATCTTTTTCTAAAAAAAAAATAATAATAAAAAAAGTCCTCCCACATGGGCATGCTCATTATGGACAGATATGCTCTGAATTATGCATGTGCCCAGGATATGTTCTTTGTAATTGCTATTAGGTAAGTTAATTTTTTTGAAGTGCAGCTTGTGCTTCTTGAAGAAGAGGAAGCAGAAATCTATATTTAACTTTCCGTTTACTGGAGACAAAAAGAGAACCCACACACAGCATAACATCAAACGGCAACAGGAGGCATCTTTTCATAGCACTTATTAGTCCATCTTCTGCTCCCAAACGTGCACAAAATTGCTTGTCCTGTGATAAAGCTGTGATTTCCTGAATAAGATTTCACATACTTTTATTTGATTATTCTATCCTCAGATTGCCTTTAATTCACTCACTGTTTGTCTTTCACCCTTTATTTCTATCCCTCATAGGCTGGAGATTGAACTGTTGGTAAAACAAAAACACATTTGAACATGTCGACTTGGGAACTGGTAAAATATGATGGGTATTTTTCACTATTGACATTTTATAGACCAAACGATTACGCAAGAAAATAAACAACAGATTAAATGATGATGTAAAATATCATTATTTGCAGCCCTAGTCCTGATACCTAAGCATGTGAGATGAAGAAGTCAAGCATTTCTGCTGGTAAACGCACTTGACACCTTGGATTTAATAAATAAATAGTGTTTTCTCTGCTTTTCTGCAGTTTGGAATATTTGGCTCCTGCTAATTGGCTCCTTCTGTATGCTCTGTAGCAATGACTACTGGCGCAACATTCCCCTCTCTATTTTGGATCACTTTTCATCTCAAAGTATTTTCAGCACTTCCTCAAAAGAGCAACAAACCTCCAAACGGGCCTGACGTGAGGGAGCCGAGCGAGGACAGCCTTTTTATCTCGGCAACAAACTGGGCTGGCCGCCACTTGGAACGTCACCAGCTGAACTCAGCACCCTACAGACTGCCAGCAGGTACCTTGGCAGCGGTGTTATCCCAGGCCAGGTTCCCTCAAAGCCCCAGTACGTCTGGACTGCTGGCCTCCGTTCAGCCTGTTCCACATCACACACATCAACTGTACCGCTGATAGAATCGCGCAATATTACATCCCGGCTGGGTGGATAATCCTCGCAATCAAAACATCATCATCTCGGCTGAATGAACAATAGCGCTGCACAGGCAGTATGAACACATGCGCACACGCATGCACCGAAAATGTCCACAAGCATCTGATTTGTCATCTGGGTCAAGTGCTCAGACGGGTTTTTACAGGACAGCTGACCTCACATATCCAGCACCTCACACGATCATCCAAAAACCATACATACAGTCAAATAATAGAAACTATTATTATTCCACTTTCAATACTTGGGAGCAGCTCATCTGCTCGGCACAAAAAAAGACAGACGGAAGAAAATAGCCACTGCAAATCCACTCAGCCAGAAAAATACAAATCCTTCTCCCTCGCTCTGACGCAGTGGCCTCTGGGTAGACAGAGGGACCACTGATGCCTTTTCTTACTTTCCCCCGTCCTTCATTTCTTTCCCCTGCAAATCTGCATGTCTCTGTTTCATTTCTTTTCCACTAGTTTTTAATTTAATATCCAAGCTGTTGCTCAGCAAGGATTGGTACCACAATTGATGAGCGAGACGAAGGGGTGCTGATGATGATGCCGAGGCTGCTTGAGGTGTGTGTATGCTGAGGAAACCAATTTCAGCCTGATCTGATATCAGATTATACCCAGAAAGGCAGTGACTGTCAATGACCATAAACTGCAGAAGTAGGGCTGCAAATCTGCAGATTAAGTTATAGTCCAACTGCCAGGTACGCCTGCACCTGCTGAACTTTGAGCAGTTCCTCTCCTTCTGTCATCTGGCTGATAAAGCTGCCAGTGTGCCAAGTTCTCTGCAGGGTCCACGCAAAGTACTGCAGGTCATATAGTGTGGTCTAAGTGTATGCAGAGCTATCAGTAGGTCATATTATCAGACAGTGTGTGAATGTGAAAGCATAAGTTAGCCAGGCTGATATACAGTTGAGGATAGCCAGGAACACGCTGGAATACAGACTGAGACACTAAACAAAAAAGCATAGATATCTCTACTTAAGCCAGAACTTATTGTCTAACAGTTCTTTAGACTTACCCACAGCAGGAGCGTCATACTCGTCCCCCAGCAGTATTTCAGGAGCAGAGTAGGCCAGAGAGCCGCAGGAGGTGTTGAGCTTTTTTCCAGGCTGAAACCGGTTGCTGAAGCCGAAGTCAGTGAGCTTCACGACGCCCTGCTTCTCGAAGAACACCACATTCTCCGGCTTCAGGTCCCTGTGCACCACGTGCAGCCGGTGGCAGTAGGAGATGGCGTGGACAATTTGGGCGAAGTAACACTTGGCCACCTTTGAGAAGAGGGACAGAAATGATAGCAAGCAATAGTAATGTATCTCAGTATAAAAGTTATGTAAAGACAGACAACTCCTCCCATCTAGTCACATCTATAGGCAATTTAGATTCTCTAATCCATCTGAATTGCTTGTGGACTGAACACCAAGAGAACATGCCCACTCATTAGTGCTAACCAACAACTAGCAAAGACACTTCAAAGCAGTAGTTTGACAATTTGGGAAATACACATATTTGCTTTCTTGCTGAGAGATGAGAAGATCAATACCACTCTGTCCATTAAATATGAAGCTACAGCCAGCAGCTGGTGAACTTAACTTAGCATAAAGACTGGAAACAGCCTGACTCTGTCTGGAGTTAACAAGGTAAAACCACAAATTGTCTTTTTTTTTTTTACAGATTAAACAAAAAGAGATTGTATACTGTATAACTTGATTAATTCTCCACAGTCTGCCCTAATTCAACAAAACATGCCAACTTTTATGTAGGTTTTTTATTTATTTATTTTTACTGCAAAACCAACTTTAACTAGCTTATTGGCTACCCTTATTGTGTACCAGTAAGTAAAAGCAACTATTACCATAGCAGAGTTTAGAATGTCTCATCCTTTCCTCCTATTTATCTTGTACTGTTAAAACTTTCAAAGTCACACAGTTGCCTCCTGGTGTCCGGCATTTATTAACTTTAAAGAATCTGTATGCGCAATGCATTGGTGAGCTTCTAACTACCTTTGAACTGTCCTTCACTGCATTCCCACGAAACAGTCTGAACTAGAAACAAACAAAAGAACATCCAAATTCTGTTCTCTAGAGACTTTAACTTAATGCAATTCTGAATCATTTGCAGGAGAATTAATTATTATTATGATCCTGTATTGATCTGCTTTCTCTTGCATTACATTGAGTCCCCCTGGAGATGGTTTTCCTAAGTCAAGTTCCTAAGTCAACTACACTTCACTGCAAAAACTGAGCTCTCAAAAACAAGAAAAAAAGCATTAAAATGGGGGAGATATTACTTAAAATAAGCAAAATTATCTGCCAACAGAACAAGAATATTTCACTTAAGGACAAATAAACTTGAAACAGGTGAAATTCTCTAACATACATTCTCTAACTGCCTGGTAAGAATAAATATCTTGTTGGACAAAAATCAAGTATATTTTGCCTTCAATTAAGATATTAAGATTTTGCAGTGTTCCGCAGGTAGGCATGAACCTTTGACTTTGAGTCTATGCTGCTCACAGTCCCACTCACCTCTTCAGTGAGGCCTCCGTCATGCTTCATGATGCAGTCGTACATGTCTCCCCCATCTCCCAGCTCCAGGATAAGGTAGAGCTTGGTGGCCGTGTCGATGACCTCATAGAGGCGCACCACGTTGGGGTGCTGCACCATCTTCATGCATCGCACCTCCTGGAAAAGGTGACCCCGCGCCACCGGGTCCAGCTTAGTCTTATCGATCACCTTCACCGCAACCTAGAAGAGCAGCATAATGAGATGATAGACATCTGTCCCAATCTACACCTATCAGCAGCTACTTTTGCATACTCTAAGACTGAAACAGCTAATTGTTGATAGTGAAGATATTAAAGAAGTTGTGATGACTATGAAACAAAAACCATACAAGTTTTAGCATTTCGTCTTGAAACGCCTCATAAAGACCATCATGTGATATGTCAAGATCAACTCAATCGTGTACTCATCTAACCTTAGACACAATCCTCAAATCTCTACACGGGTTACCCTTCTTTGGTATGTCTGTCTCTAAGGGTGAGGCTGGAATCTTCAACAGTGTGCTTACACTGGCTATTTAAATATTTGGAAATCCAATCACTGGCGTCAAAGCATTGCACATGCATGTACAGACAAGCGTACCTTTTCCCCAGTGAATACGTGTCGGGCCAATTTCACCACAGCAAAGTGTCCACGGCCCAGTGTCTTGTCCAGATCGTACAGCCCAGCGATCTTCCCATCGTGATGCCGTTTCAGCCCCGCCATAGCTGCTGGTGGACGGGGAGGGAGAAGCTGCCTTCTGTTGCCTGCCGGTCTCCGGTCAGTTCACCATCTCCCCCCGAGTAGGGTGAAGTTAGGTGAGGTTCGGTTGATCCTACAGCAGCAGTGGGTCTCCTGAGGTAGCTTCAGGGATTTGAGGGTAAGCTGCTGGATGGTCACGCCAAGTATTCACAGAGCTTTGGCCTGCTGCGCTGCCTGCGCTACGCTCAGTTCAATCCCATCTTCTTGTGATCTGAGGTTTAAAATGGTCCAAAATGAGAGGGAGGGAATCAAAATCTTCCCATTCATACTGACAATATAACACTTCAAAAGAATCTGTACAATAAACTGAGTCACTCAGAAGAAATCCTGCTAAACCTTGAGTCATGAACCTGTCTGATGAAGTATTATCCTCAAGACCACATTCTCTGCTTTGTGTACCCTTCAACAACTGAATTAGAATCAAAGTGTTTCTACCGTTCATTTGCAACTAAAACTAAAAAACCAAACAAAGAATATACAGCCATGCTAGCGGCTCTGTGAGGTTAACTTGGTAGTGCTTTAAGAAAAATGCTAATGTCAGCATGCTAACACACCCACAATGACAATGCTAACAAGCCAAATGTTGACCATGGTCAACATCTTAGTTTAGCGTGTTAGCATGCTAACATTTGGTAATTACCAGAAACAAAAGTAAAGCTGAGGTTGATGGGAATAATTTGCAGGTATTTGGTCACCGACTAAAGTAGTGGATACATTTAAATTTTGACCTGATTGTGAAGTTGGATAAAAAGTCAGTTATTCAAATTTATCTGGAGGGGGTCAGACTGGATATTTCAGTCTGGACCAAAGTGGTGGATCAAGTGAACAAATGATGATGCCAACAATAGAGCCATGATGTTAACTTGATGAAAAATGACATCTGGGTGCGTATTATCATATCATTTCATTTGTGAAATCAAAGACACGAGAAAGTTTCCAATCCTCAAAAAACAGTCCCAGAAGTGTGCAGCCCAACAAAACATGGCCTCTGTTGTCAAATATACTGATGATTCAATATTCTCCATGGATAACTGGACAAAAGGAAAGTTTGACTCAGAGTCCTCTTGCATGGATACAATTAACTCATTTAAGTGTTGACAAGACATTTCTTACTTTATTTCATGGACTACTATGTCAGTACCAAAGCTCTGATAAAGGGAAAATAGAGAAAAGTAGGGGTAAGGCCTTCAGCTAACCCTTATTTTTTTTACTATTGATTAATCTGATTATTTTTCCATTAATAGATTAATTGTTGTTAAATGTCAATATAGTGCAACAACAAAAAAACATTCTTAGAACTCAAGGTGACGTTTTGAAATGTTTTATTTTGTCAGACCAACAGTCAAAAACTTAAAGATAAATCAATGAATCAGTTAACAATGATATCAAAGTGAGGAAAGCTGAAAACATTTGAGAATCTGGATCCTGCAAATATTTAGCATTTTTCTTGATTAACTTAACTCAACTTTTCTTTTCAGCTCTAGATAACACATTGCATTACTGTTTTGTGGTTATCTACTACATCTATATTTAGAATTGATTTATGATCACTGTCATCTCATTAGATATTTTTTGCCCCTCAGGGGTGACAAAACTCTACTACTCTGAACTAATTCATCTCAAATCCTGACATGCTCACTTGTCTGACCCTCTGCTGTGTTCACCAGAAGCTACAGTCGTCATACAGTATGTTGCTTCACTGCCCCGATTATGAAACAACGCCTCAAGGGGAGGGATGGCATTCCTCCTCCAGGAATCTAACTCCGTGCCAAGAACACAGAGACGGCAAAAGACACACTATGTACAGGCAAAGAACATTCCTGGGAGGTGATCTTTGCCTAGGTGTGTCCCACTCACCTGCATTTACAGAGACAACAGGAATTCAAATAAGATGTTGCCAAGGAGCACGCCTATCAACATAAGTAGATACAGTAAGATGAAAAAATAAGAAACGTCTCTAACCCCCCAGCAGTCTGTGGTTGCTCAAATGAAACTATGAAAGCCTAAAGAGCTCTTTGGGGTTTTTCTGTGATCCTCAGTTGGAGGATTGTACCTGTGAGAAGCGAGTGAGTCATTTTTCTTATAATAGGAGGTTGACATCTCCATCTGTCTCTGCTTTGTCTCGCTCATTCACACATACACACAGGCACAAAAGTAATCTCATCTCTGTTGAACTCTCCGCCTGACACTGACAACATGTAGATATTGATGTGTCAAAAAACTGTGTGCACATAAAAGCACATGTATGTGTATGTGTATGTGTGTGTGTGTGTGTGTGTGTGTGTGTGTGTCCCCTGTCATGTCGTTACACACATTGATTTATCCACAAAGACAGCTCTGGCACAGAGACAGACTGACAGGGCAGGTTAGGTGAGATCTACATGTGCAGTGTGGTGGTGAGCTTGTCTGTTGGCCTGGGCTAAACCAAGATCTGCTAAATCTAGACCTCTTACTTACCTCAACAGTGTGTGTGTAATCGCTTGATTGGTTTAAAGCAGGTGATGGGTGAAATTAACAAGGTGAGAAAATGCACTTGATGTAAAAAGCTGTTTGGTATTTCAATTACAAAGCCTTTCTGGCATGCCAACATACAGTGCAGTAATGTACCAGCCATGCCCACATTGAGGTTGGTTGCATAACTGTTCAAGGTGCTGGCAGTGTATTGATTTACATGTTAGTAGTGTGCGTGTGAGCACACAAAAGCACACAAACACACATATCAGGTCAATGACCTGTCATAATAGCTGCTCCGCTCTGATAGCTTGGGAGATATGAACTGAACTGTTATCAAGGTACATCTGATTAAGATGTCAATGTGTCAAAGATACTCACGTACAAACATTTGGACACACTGCAGAAGGTAAGCAATTAAAGATCTAATACTTATGGTACAAAGATTTGGTAGCCAGTGGTACAATAATTCTGTTGTTCCCAATTATTTTGGGCAAAGGACCACTTAAACCAGTTGGAGTTCAACCAAAGACTTACTGAATGTATTCTATAAGCCTGACATGTTACCATTAAAAGGCTTAAGTCCCCCCCCAAAAAAATCAACATAACTTTAATTACAGAAATGTGTTTTTCTTGCTGACCTATCCTAATAATCTCATAACCTCTCAGATATATAATTGCAACCCCTTGCAGGGATTCCCAGATTGGGTCCCACTGCTAATAGATAATAATGAGACAAAAAATACATAAAATCCTATGCATGACTGGAGGAATATTATAGTGACACCACAGCCAGGGCTATATAGATAGAAATAATACAGGAACAATATATTATATCATATTATTTTTACTGCAAATGTGCATCCTTCAAGAGTGCCCTACAAAGAACACAACTGCCCGACATTATCTTGTCCGTGTTGGGTTACTGTAGGAATATTATAAAGATAGGCCTACCATAAAGAAGTCATTGTAAACTCTCAAGTACCACAACCACACTTCTCTAGTTTAGTAAAAATGAATATTAGTAGCATCATATGTATGATAAATATATCTTTCACTTCACTACACTAATATTAAAGGATAGTTGAGCTCAGGCTGTGCTGGCCATTCTACACTGTATCTGTTTTTCACTGCATAGGTGCTACTGCCCATATGGGACCCCCCTCAGCCCTCCTGTACTGTCAACATGCCTGCTGGCTGCATCCACAATAACATGACAGTGCGGACCAGCCTGCGCAAACAGCACACACATGAATGCTAGTGAAAGACACGGGCAGCATGCTAAAATGCGCCCAGCAGGATGCGCATTAAAGAAAAGTGCCCTACTGAAATCCGACGGCTAACTTGACACATATTATTACTACACGGGCCCACAACATCAGGCTGCATGCGCTACACCAGTCCTACTTACCACAGAGGAACCTGAAGCAGCGCCACTGTCCTTTCTGTTCCCTTTCCAACTGCGGGAGTGTGCGGGGGTCCGGGCGGTGAGCTGCGGGTTTTAACGAGGCTGAAATTCTCCGGCGTTCAGTTTAACACTCGGTACCGACTGACAGCAAACCGGCCAACGACTATCCTCTATCCCAATGAGTCCCTGTGTAAGTCTGTCACACTGTCAACTCCACCTCCCTCTTTCCTCTCCCCCTCTCCCTCCTGCTCCTTCAGCTGTACAAACACACGCAGGTTGCAAGATAACACAGGAAGTGTCGCTTTCAAAGTAAAAGCAATATTAATTCTAGTTGGATAGTTCACCTATCTCACCTATGAGAGAGATCTATTTCAATTTATTTTACTCTATCATTAGACTGTTACCAGAATTATTAGGCTCGAAAAATACATTTATAATATTATTTCATCTGAAGACGGAATGTCTTGTTTCTTTTCTCCATGGATATCTGCACCACTCACTGTTTTTCTCAAATTTTGCTTACACAGGTTTTCTCAGATCTCTTGCAAAAGACTGCATTCCACTGAAACTGTATTGTCTTCAAACTACATCACAATAGCAAAATACAGAATCACTTTGCGATTGGGCCTCATTCTACTTGTAAACTTATAGTGCACAGGGACAGACTACAACATTGAACTGTAGTGAACCTGCTCCAGTTTGATCTCCCTCACTGTTAGATCACGGAGGCCTGTCTCATCAGAGATAATGGCTCACCTTTATCCTGATTTCCTCCTCCTCTCACTCCACTTGCCTCTCTCCTTTGTTGGCCTCTATTGCTCCAAAACAGAAAAGCTCACCTTTGGCCCTTTTATTGCTAAAACTCTGACTGCATATTGAACAAATGTACAATCTGTGTTTGCACATGCACAGCCTGAAATTTAAGTATTCATGAAGACTGTGCCAAAGAGGAGAGAATTGTGTGTATTGTTTTGAAAAAGTGTGGTTTAGAACTGCAGTTTGAGTGTAAAGCAGGAAATGTCCTTGTATTTTAGCAGAACAGTAATATAAAGCAAGACTTCCTGGATCCTAATTTTTGTACTTTCATCTGCCCCTAAATAGCCCCTATCGGATCAGCACTTCCTTCTTCCATTGCAAAACTTAATTATTAATTTGATGATTTTGATCATTTGCAAGGTGTGGTTGCATGTGGCCATTTAATCATTTCATTTTCATCATCAAGTGTCATTTCATCACATTTGACTGGATACATTTATGTATATGCTCTGAGTCCAAAAAATATTTTAGCATTTTACAGCCAAGAAAAAAGAGGGAATATCAAAACGTTTAAAATTATCTTGTTTTTTCCTTGACTTATATTTGGCTAATACCAAGAGATAAATGAACAATTAAGGGACACAGTCGAACTAGAACTGGGAAAAATTAAAAGCAGCTAAGTGAAAGAAGGAACTCTGTAGAAAACTGTGAATAACAAACCACATACTGTTTTAATATCAGTCCATAGAGTAAATATAGGCAATGGCCTCAATATATAGGCATTTATTTCTTCAGGATCCTTGAAAACACCAAGATAAGCTCCACTTTTGACGGTTCCCCAATGGTTTATAAAATGGTCACGCTTTAGGAATTATGCTTTTATTTTGAACTTTTGACTGGCCTGTCTTCCCGTGTCCTTATTTCTGAATGACAGCTCTATCATCACTGCGCCTCGGCACCATTCATGTCTGACGTCAGAACTACGCTCAGAGAAAAGCGTGTTTATCACACAAAATGTGCTTCACCTTAATCATGTTTACCTGACCTCTGTTTGAAGGCGTTTAACGCAAATAAAAAGCCAGGGTGAAAGGCGGTATGTAGTATATGGCTCACGCTAGGAAAGAACAATGGGTCATTGTCATCTTTTACACTTCCTATATAAAAATCCAAGTGAGTTGGCCCTCAGGCCTCTTCACCACTCACCCATCCTCCGCCACATCTCTCAGGGTGCCTGGGAGGAATCTAACGCCTGGTGTGTGGTGGTGGGAGGGGAGGTGTGCTGGCATCGAACTGTGTCCCTGTTCTCTGCATTGAACCAGCTGGGCAATGTTCAAATGCTTTGTTATGTAATATTTACAAGCTCCTCTCTTGAGATTTGAAGTAGAACCTGTTTGAGTCCCACCATGCTGGTTCCCTTCAGCCAGGACTCAGCTGCAGTCGCTCCATAAAGAATTTCTCAGTTTCATTCAAAGCCATTGGTGGAAAGCAGCACTTTGTGGTCTGTTTAATGGACACCAAGTCAATTAGATGATTACTTATTTCCTTCCATCACCACAACCTGGCAGCAAACAGTTCACCCAAGTGTTTGACCGATAGAGGCTAACTTTGCATTCAGGGGACACAGATCAGCCTATACGCATTTGAAAAGGTATTACCATAATTTTCTGCATCTTAAAGTATAAAGACAAGACAAAGGGGCCAATAACCAGTACTAGCTGAGTGTGCCATCTAGTGGATGTTTGATGAGTGTTCTTGGGACAAAAACAATCCCATCTTGTTTTGTCTAGTCTTTTGCTTTATGCCATTTCCCCATGCCATTTAAAACCACTCACTCAGCTTAAAATGCTACCTGGGCTGCAGTGAATACCAATTTAGTGGATTCAACATTGTCCCTAAAACCTGATCAAATGACAGCAAAGACTAGATTAGGAAGAGCAAATTAGGTAATAAACACAATGTCAATATTAAGGTAAATGTTACGCACAGCCGGATCTTCCATACTGATCATCGGTGGATACTTTAAGGTATCCTGATTGTTTAACAGAGCGCTGTAATCGCAGCGTTACTCAGTTATCTGTATGACAAGCAAGCTACTCAATAAAAATGTTTGAACAGAGAACCACCAGAGATCAGGCTGAAATAATCAGCCCTCTGCATACAGCAGCGCACGTCACTTCTAATACCAAGTCCATAAAGCCACAAGTCAAGATCAATTCTATATAGGCTAAAAAAAACAAAACACTACTGAGTGTTAACTGACTATGGTGTGCCACAAAATACCACTTCCTGTCATGCAAAAGAAATCTTTAATGTAAACAGCATCATGTATTCAAGAGAATACTGAAATGTAGTCAACGTTTACCAGTCCATAAAGAACAGTGACACCAGAAGTAGAAAAATCTTAATGTGCCGTTACATGTTTTGCAGAGTGGACAAAGAAAAGAGGCAGATGAACAATTGAACAGCAGATTTATTTTATGAAAACTGTTCACTTCTTTGCTGCCTCCTTCTGCAGCTTCTTCACCTCGTGCTTGATGATCTTGTTCCTCTGCAGAAACACAAAGAATAAGTGCATTAATTAAAAAAGCACTCAATAACTGCTGTAGATCAGCACACTTTAAACTGAGACTAATGGACCCCTTTAAACTGAAGCGTCACTGGGTGATATTTCATGTTGCAGCTGGGGGAAAAAAAAAAATTAATAACTCACTTTCATTTGTCTGCCAAAGAGCAAGCAGTGGCAATCACACTAGCTGTTGTCAATGCCTGCTCACTGGCACAATTAAAAAATCAAACTGACCCATCATTCATTTTATTAGCTGCAGCAGTTTAGTCAGCCATCTGTGAAAAGGCTCAAACACAGCACCATTATAACAAGGCCTGCCTCACAGAGCGGGATAGACAATCGTCAGGGCATATTTGAGAGCTGGCCTCACTAAATCAACCATGATCACTCATCTCAGCGAAGTGGGCTGCGTGTAATTTAATTCATATTCATCTATAAGAATGTTCTTATTAAAGTTGAGGGCACAGTACTAAATTACATCACATGAACAAATTAAGAGCAATGTGTGTTTAAGCCCAAAACAATAAGTCCCAGGGGGAACAGGGACGTTGAAACAGCTTAAGTTTATTAAGCTTTAAAAAATTAAATCATCTAGAATATAAACTGATAAAATGATTAACATGCATCAGAGAGGAAGGAGTGAACAGTGTTAATTATTTCAACATGGTAAATAAGGTAAAGAAATGTATAATGGACATTTACATGCATGCTCAAATTGGTTTTTCGCCCTCATTAGTTTGTAGTAAACAGCCAGGATGAAGCTTATGTTGTCTGCATGAATAACCACTTGTTTCTCTGTTGCACTTACCATCCTCTTGGCCTTCATCACCTTGTAGCGGTCAAAGTCAGACATTTTGGCCCTCTGCAAACATAACCAAGAAGATACGGTCAAAGATACAACCTGAGTTTGATTACTTTTACAAATAATCACTGTAGCTCACCAGGAGTTTTAGGAAGACATGTATATTAATGGTGGTGTGAACAGTGGCTGTGCTCACTTTAGCCGGTGTGCATAATTTGTACACAACCTCTAGGTGGGGAAAACTGCTTTAATCTAGTGCAGGCAGCAACACTTAATTTATCGATGTGAATTTTAAAATTATATCGGGAAGGGAAAATACAGCGAGTACAAGTCAGGCAAAATTCTGTTATTCTGTATGTGACATTTAGGCCAACTTGTAAGTATTAAGACGGTGCACAACCCTGCCAATGTGAACAGTGTGTTCACCAATACAGAGATTCCTACAGGTGTTAAAGGGAGGTGTGCGGCCTCCATTAAATTAGTTACAGACTTGAAAAAGAAACTGATTTATAAAATACAATGTTAACCTTCAGGGGGGTAAGAGGCAGTATTTCACACCGCATGGTCATATGTTTAGTGAGTTTAGATCATCATCAAGATCCTAAATTTAATCACACAAAGACAAAATGCCACCAGGATCTGTCAGGCTCAGCTCAGTAGTTGACAGTGATTGATCAGCTTCAGGCCTCAAACATTTTCTTTATGGTACATAAAGTAGCATATGACACTGTCAGTTTGATCAAACAGACCATTCAGTCACAATCTGCTGGGAACGTGCGAAGATAATGTCACATGAGGATGCAAACTAGGGTTGGGCCATGTCTACAAAATTTCCATTGGACGATGTTTACAATGAAACATCATGGACAAAGTCATCGGGTGCACGTGTGTGCGCACGTGGGGGACAGCAGTCGTCTTATGTGCATGTGTTCTCGCACAGACTTCACTCGGTAAAAGAAAAAAGGTAGACTATCAAGTTACTTTACAAGTCAAGGTGGATATTTTACGCACGGACCAGGTAAAGCAACAGTGAACACAGATGTTGGTTTCAGTTGTTTGATAGGCTGCATCATTAATAAGCAGACGTGCGGCTCATCTGCTGCCGTGATAACTGATCGTGGGTGGAAATACAGGAAAAAGACGAGTTGTCAGTCTTTTAGGCGACTTTATAAAACATGCTGCTGATGGAGAAAATGGAGCAGACGGGCGGAGAGAGACAGAGAGAGGCGGGGAAAGCCGGGGTGTTTACCTGACGTCTAGGTGTGTGAGTGTGGGGAGAAGAGAATTCAGAGAAAGGTGCAAAGCAGAGACTACTTAAAAACAATGTTCGTGGTCGTTAAAAGCTGCTTTCACAGGGTGGTATAATGTGAAAATTTGAGATATTTGCTGGGGGGCGCGGGTTTTACAATCACGATGCCGCCTCAACGTCGTGATGTCTATTGGCTCATCTATCGGCCCAACCCTACTGCAAACACAGCTGCCATCAAAACACTACGGTGATATTTACCAGCTGGATACCTGTTTTATATAAAGTACTACACTTCCAAATGAATTATGTAATTATGTTCTGTTTGCTACTAAAAATGGAGGACACTGGCGAGCAAAGCAATCATGAGCTGAAAATCACGACAAAGCATCTGAGAAGCAGCGTGTATAAGTATTTGGGTTCCTCACCTGCCACCCAAGTGAGGCAGCAGAGGCACTACAGATGAGCAGCACAGCGCTCTGAATGGTTGGCAAGGAATATTGTACAAAACGAGCTGCACAGTGTACTCACACCTTAGAATTAACCATGGCAGTGTTTTTCAACAAAATATAGTTCAACTACAGTCGCATCATTAAAAAAAACAAATCAAATACAAATAAAACCCCATATGATCAAATACCAACAATTCATACTATTCTAAAACCGCATTTAAGAAATTTCCTATACCAGCTCTACTGTGTCTCTGGAAGCCAATAAATCCGACAGCATAACCATGACACTGCTGAAGTGGTGTGACTATGACTTGGGATGGGTCACGACTTTCCAATAGTTATTAGATCACAAAAAATGTCTTTGCGATATCTTGTCTAAATATTTGCTTAAAATACCCAGCCCCCACTATAACCTTCCAATATGTTCATGGTGACCACATACTAAATATAGCCGTTACCTTCTGTCTCGCCTCGATCTTCTTTGCCCAGCTGCTTTGTGCCCACTTGTCATTGACTCCGGCCTTCTCCCAGGCTCTCCTCACAAACTTCTGGCGGGCACTGTGAAGCATCACATTAAGCAACGTGTTTAGTGACGTGCTCATTGGTCAACTGCATTCAAGCTGGTCACTCTGGATGCACTTGTGTGTCAAAGATGATTTCCGGCTTCAGCTGAATAATTAAGGCGTAATCTGTTCTATATTTGTAGTACAGTGTGGACACAAATCTGTCCATGACTGAAGTGACAGAAAACTTGATATGCTGCAAGTGCCTTCAGTTCTTTAATTTTTACAAGTTGAGTCATCCTTAATACTGAAAGTTTACGTGCAAAAAAAGCTATAAAAGATTAGCATCTTGTCCATATATACACACACACACATATATTAGAGCCTGGTAGAAGTTAGTGAGTAGACAAAGTTCTGTGTTTAATGGTTGTGCTCCTTTAAAAACAACAATAAGACATTCTGAAATGTTATGCATACACCTGTGCGGTTATGAGGTGCTAAATGTTAAGAAATAAACATTTGTTGTAATACATACATAACAGATCTCAAATCTTGATCAGTGTTTTTGGTAGCAAGGATCTCACCTGTGAGGTACTTTGATGACATAATCTGTGAGCTGCATGCACTTAAAGGGCATGGCTTGCCTCTTCACCCCTGTGCAGGGCCCATCAACAAGAGCCTGTAAAGCACAGCGTGCAAAAAAAAAAAAAAAAAACATCCCACAATTAACAACAAGTTGAAAGGCAAACACTTATAAATCCACTGTCCATCAGAGCGCTCCTCACCCTATTTTGGTCGATGACATCGACGATGGCCACCAGCTTGCCAGCGTGGGGTCCGAAAGAGATGTATGCAACACGGCCGATCTCAACGAAGCGTTTGAACACCTGAGACAGACACCAGAGTATTGCACATCAGAATAGCTAAACGTGAAAACAAGGCTCGCTGCCTAGTATGTGTACAGAAGGGCATATTAGTGTCGAGTTGTTCAATATAACTGCAGACAACCCAACAGTTTAGAGGAACCACCAAGGTTATAGCACTGCACTAACGTTAAAGCAACATCTGATCATATCGTTTCGAGAAGCTAACGTTAGCTAGCTCGTGTTTCGAAGACGAGGTGTTGTCCACAAAACTGGACTATGTTGAACAGCAGGTATAAAATGTATTTAAATTAACAACGGCGTAAGCGCAGAGATATAACGTTAATTCAGGAGACTGGTGAGACAAGAGAAAATGTGTGAGATTAGCGCATCAGGTCTCGGCCCTCTCAGCCCGTGGGCCACGTTGTGGTGCAGGGACAGCCGACATCTTACAGACACAGCGTTAAAACGTAAAATAAACCTACATGTCTAGATCAAACACCTCATAAATATGCATATGAGTGTGTTAGCTATACATGTGGCTCTTGTTGCTCCAGAACAATAACATATATATAAAGAAATTCGACTTGGAAATGTTAAAACTCTCATGGCGAACTCACCATGATGGCAGTCCGGGAGCAAAAAGGACGTTACAGCTTCCGCTTAGGGCAGATACGGCTTCCGCTTCTTGGCCACACATGCGCAGTGCGTGTTGCGTTCATCTAATTTCATGAGCATCTTAATTAAACCTCTCGGTGTTAAAACGATCTAATAATGACGCTATCGACAAATTATGCTTTATTTGATGCGAAATATAAAGTATGCACTGCAGCGCAATATAAAAACGTCTGCGTCACACTCCCTTGTTGCCTTCACTGACACTGTGATTTATCGGAATTAACTGAAGTAGAATTAACTTCAAACATTCACTGTTTAACTTGGTAGTTATAAGACAAAGACAAGGAAGAAAACGACGATATATACAGACGTTACCATGCGTGTTGGTTTGGAAATGCAGAGATGTATCACTAAAGCATGACTAAAAGCATGTGTTACTGCGACATTTGAGGAGCACGTGAAGGCAGCACGGGAGCAGGGAGGAGCCTCAGTCTAAGTACGCACGAGTACGCCCAAACAAACCGAAAGCTGTTGTCATATTTTCATCCCGGACAGCAAATCTTACGGTCCACTGTTAGGCTGTGGTAAGTATTATTATTTGAGTTGGTTAATTTACCGAAACGTTGTGTTTAAAGATTTGTCTCACACTTTCAGATTTAAGTAACGTTAGGCTTTCTCTGTCGAAACAGTTCAGTAACATTAACGGTAATTATAAATTACGCTGTTTCTGTGTCTCTTGTGTTAGCTTAAGTCCATAGCTTCTATTCTGGTTTGATAGGAAATCTATAACGTCATGCTGACTCCTTGTTCCTAACTGACGCCACAGAAATTAACGTTATTTAACTTAACGTTACGCACTGAAACGAAAGCAATGTGGAGTGCCACTTTAGCTGAGTACTTTAAATATTTGGGGGGGTTTTTATTGACACAGCAGTGATGAAAGAATTGTAACCATAGGACACCCAGGTAATACAGTATTTTGGTGTATTTCTATTGAAATGTAGCCTACCTGGCAGATTTAGGCTAGTTAACTTACTCTCTATTGATACATTAACTTAGCTTGAGTTATATTCTATGTTTTTAAAAAGGCCCCTATGGTCTGTGGTAGTATTATAATATTATTCTATTGTAGTATAAGTACTTTCAGTAGGTTTTGTGTACCACTACTTTTAACAATACAAATTGTGTTTTCTAGGTGACAGAGAGACAGAATGGCGAAGATGGCTGAACCCAGCAGCAGGTTAGAGTGGTGCTGTGATATTGAGAGCATTTAGAAGAATTCTTGTGACATGAAATGTAATTACTTTAGCATTAAGTGCTGTACATTGAGGTTAAAACAGAGCTACTGGAAGGTGAATGGTAGCGTACGGGAGCACTAGAGTCAGTATAAGAATAAATAACAAACTGAAAGCTAAGCCAGAAAGATGAGTTTAGATTTAAAGGATTCAACTGCGTCAGACTGCCTGATGTCAGCAGGGTTATACTTAGCCAACTCACCATTTTGTAGCCTATATTTTGTTGGTCATCATCACTGCAACATATTCTTCCTACAGTGGGCCACTAAATAGTGCTGTGAATATCAGCTCTGTTTTTGTAAACTGAAACTTTTCTACCTTTCAGGTTATCCAGGGATAATCTCCTGAAAGACAGCTACCAGGGTAGACTACACACATGTTTTCCTCACACATCATAAAACCTTGCAATGATAAGTATTTACCTTATTCCATCAAACTCCTCTTGTCATGTGTTGCAGAGTCATCCGGCTATACATCAAGCGATGACACTCATTTCATCTTAAAAAAACCAGCTGGTGCCACATTTATAGAAGGAGGCCTGAATGACACCATTTACAGAGACAGACCCGACGAGGTGAATGGGTGGGGGAAATTCTACCTTCCTGACATAGTAAGCATGCAGGTTGTAGGTGTAGTGGAGGGGACCTCATGCCCGTGTGACCAGCTCGTTCTGATGACCTGTGAGGACAAAAAGTTGTATGCCTACGATGGAGAGGAGCTGCACCAGGTGGCTTCAAGCATGGATACTCTATTGCAGAAGGGGGAAATAGAGTATCCATCATCCATAAGCTATTACTACGGGGAGGCCTTCAAAGATATGGTGAGAAGTTACAGTTAAGTTGCTGGGAACAAGCAGGGCTTTGATTATTGATCACCTGTGGGCACTGACAATGTTTGTTTAATATTGTCTGCTGTGTGTAGACTGAGGAGGACTGGGACAAGGTGAGGGAAGGCCCTGTAGGGAAGAGTTTGGATAAAGCACATCATAAACTGGTGACAGAACTAAAGCCCGGCTTGCTGGAGAATCTCAAAATCATAGGTGGGTATCTTTATCTTTGCTGCAGGGTAAGGAATTATGGTAATTTATTTCAAAGAAAGGTTGTATGATATCCTACATCGTACATCTGATTTTACTTTAAGAAAGATAGTTTTGGCTTCATTTCTGTGCCGCACTCATTTATTGAGTGTTGAGCAATCTAATTGGTTTCTTCTTTCTCTTTTTCACTTCCTGTCCCCTCTTCAGGATCCAGCAGCTAATACTTGGTTTTGTTGTTGGTTCTTTAATGTGTCTAAAACAATGTATAAATACACACTTTTTTTTTAACCACTGGTAAAATGTTTGTCCTTTTATTAATAAAGTGATCTAATATACACATTTTAATATGATTAATCAAATAAAGACTCACTGGTTATCACTCTAAGCAAAGTTGTCTTTTTTTTTATGGACTTTATGGAATCTTACAGATGGTGACGGATTAAAGGAAACGCCTGAATAAATCGGATGACACATGATGAATGTAGATGGTTTCATGCATGGAAGAAATGGTCACTTAATGGCTTTATGAAGATTGCATGAATATCGCAGTCACTAGATCTCCATCCAACTGAACTCCTGTTGGAGAACACCATCAAAAATGTCAATTTATTCCCTTATTTGTATATTTCTCACTATTTACAGCAGGTTACTCAAACTGACAGGTGTGGCACCCAGTATGGGTGCTGTAGCCCATCTGTTTCAAGGTTTGTCGTGTTGTACGTTCAGAGATGGTATTCTGCATACCTTGGTTGTAACAAGTGGTTATTTGAGTTACTGTTGCCTTTCTGTCATCTTGTCATCTGCCCATTCTCCTCTGACCTCTGACATCAACAAGGCATTTTTGTCCACACAACTGTCGCTCACTGGATATTTTCTCTTTTCGGACCATTCTCTGTAAACCCTAGAGATGGTAGTGCGTGAAAATCCCAGTAGAGCAGCAGTTTCTAAAATATTATGGCACCAACAACCATGCTATGTTCAAAGTCACTTTGTTTTTGTGGGTAGAACATCGAAGTGTTAAAAAAAAATTCTGTTGTGTTCAGGGAGGCTTAACACGAAAAATTAGGAAGCTGGTTTTAGACTGAATTTAGTGACTAGCTTGAATAACCGAAAGGAGTTCACATGGAAAAGATACACCTAAACAAATTTGGAGGCACAAACTCAGGTAAATGCTGAAAGAAATGTGGAACATAATTTGTCTGTCACATCTACAGATTTAGTTCATAATCGTGCACCATTCAGTTCTCAAAATACAAAAAAACATAAGTGAGAAAACATGGGTTTCGGAAAAGCTTTAACATCAGTTACAGTTATGAACCTGTACAGTAAAGCAGAACTAAAATAGTTGTTACTGTGTGAGTATTTCTGCTTTCAGTTCAGTGGTTTTTTTGGTGCTGTTTACTGGCAGCACTTGCAGCATCACATCCTGTCACGTACACAAGAAAAACATCCTCATCTAGTCACATGACAATTGTCTTTTCACTGGCACTCCTTGATCATTAACACACACAGTATGTGCTTCTTTCTCTGTTGAGTAGTGAGCAAACCCTTACTGTGGTGTTCCAGTTGAACAAACTGACCTTCACAAAGGCAGCAGCTTCACTGTTTGGTTTTACATGACATCATCGAAGAAATCTAAGGAGTGGTAGTTTGAATCAGGGGAAGGGCTTCATTTCTTTTCTTTCGGTTTCACTTACTCCTTACTTACAATGGTGAGTAGCTGTTTTTACACGATTCCCTTTGCCAGTATATTATATCATGATTCATTCTACATTGCTAATTTCATTTCTGGTGTCAGTGAAATGTGTGATTGTTGTAACATGTTATGTATCATTTCTGATTGCATCAGGAGACTGAACGGCAGAAGCAGAGGTGAGTCAACTGGTATAATGAACCACATGTTGTTAATGTTCCTTTTTAATTCGCTAAAAAAAGAATTTGTTTATTATTTCAGAAAAGAAGAGTTTCTGAAACAGCAAGAATTTTTCAGAACAAATGCTGTCTTGATTATCAATGAAATGGTGAAAATGCGTAAAGAGGAAATAGAGGGGACAGAAGCTCCTTCTCCAGCATCTCCTTTAGTGGATGAGGTTTGAAGTTTTCTGGTTTTGGACATAATGCACGGCTGTGTCATAGTATTTTGTGTACACATATTGATTCTTGGCTACACACAGAGAAGATAATCTCTTTGAATGTGTTATATCTTTACAGTTTCTTCACAGCATCTTCTTTTTGGGAAAAATCAACAATCCAGAATTTTCCCCAGAATGTATTCTGGATGATGACGACATACTGTTGAAGGAGTTGAAGGACAAGTACCCTCAGCCTTTTGTTCTCTGTTCTTCTCAAGTTCCCAAGCGGAGTCCAATGTCATATGTGCTCAACATGGTAATATTATAGTTTGTCAAACGATGATACAATACTTCCCTATTAAATTGTACAGAATCATATTAACATCCTCAAATAATACTTTTATTTTACGTTTGTAATTAAAGTTCGTCATTGCATTTTCCCAACACAAAGCATGATACCACATTTGTGGGGATAAGAGCAGTTTGATAATATTTGTGATTGCTTGCAGATTGTCAATCTGATGGGACAAGAGAATGAAGACACAATAATAAAAAGGCTGCGTGAGTTGACCATTAAACTGAAGCCGGGTGAAACAAAGCATCTGGTCTCCTCCACCGTCTGTGTCTCCCAGAAAAATTCAGACAGGTACTATGGAGTCTCCATGTCCACTTCTGGGCCTATTCCTGGGCGAATCATGATTGCTGCGTCTTGTCTTAGCACCTGGGACAGTAATGTCGCTGGTGCAGTGATGACCTACTATCCAGAGAATAAAGAGAAGACAAAGAAGACATATTTTGATGGAACCATTAAACTTCCAGAGGAGGTCAGGTGTCAGGCGTTTAGCTTAAGTGATCGAAAAGAAATGCCTCCTTGCAGATCATGTGGGAATTTGTTTGGTTTGACAACAAGTGAAAATAGGGAGTGGCCCTATGGCCACTGTGCCGAAGCTGAAAGTTTGAGCAACTTGTTTAAAAAGAAGGACGAAGAGAGAGAGCAACCACAGCCAGAATCAGATGAGAACAGGAAAATGGCTACAGAGAGTGTCTTGAAAGAACTTATAAAACTTCTGAATATGCAGAAATTTAAATGGGATAGACATTTCTACACCCTACAAGTTTGATCTTTGGGGAGTTCTTACGGTCCATTATTATAAAGTGACAAAATCATTCTTAGTGGTTTTGATTCCCTATCAGTAAAAACGTCTCTGTAACCCTCTAGGCAGTGAAACCGAAACTTTTTTTGTGGACCTGAAATTCATGTAAGCAGAGCTGTCAATATATTGTGCTTTTATCATTATCATCAAATTGTTAATGCTCCAGCTACTCATTACTCATTGTAACATTTAAGATATGAATGCATTCATGGCAGAATCACAAAGCCAGATGTCTGTTAACTGTTTGAATGAAGCAGGCAGAAGATGCAAATGTTGATGTATTGATCATGTTATTCACAATAAATTATGGTGGTGTAAACTGTGTTTTGATTTAATCTCCTGCAACCTCATGTAGAGATTCTTTAGTTAATGTATGGAATAGCTTCCCCCTATAAAACCCTACATATATGGGGTGACAGCTCCAACTCTTAGACAAGTCAATAGTGGACTGTGGGGAAAGAGGCTGAGCAGCTATAGAGAGGGACATCAGAGAGCGCATCATTAAAATCACAGGAAAGTATCTTCAATATAAGAAAGCATGAAACATGAAACTTTTTTGGGACACCATCAAGGATCACAGTATAACAGTTACTACCTGTAAGGAACAAAGTGTAATCGAGTTTAAATTTTGGGACTAAATGTGAAGTATTTTAAGACAGCAACCTGAATACGTGCAAGATTTATTTTAAAGCAAGCTATACTCTGATCTACAGAGCTGTAGATCTGTGCTTATCTTTCATGTTTAACCCCTTAATGCCTGAATTTTTTTACAATAAAATTTTTTTTAACAATATTTGCGTTTTCATTTGCTTTCAATCTGATGTTAAATTAAATGAAGATTGTTAATTTGTCTTTAGAAAATAGAAAAGATATAAATTCAGGTATGTGTAAGTACAATGCAAATTAGCGACAACAGGCATAAACGAGAAACCAGGGCTTGCAAAAGGTTCCTAGGTACATATCGAATATGCACCAACAGGCATTGAGGGAATCCATGTGCTATCTTGGCTTGCAGTCTGCAAGGAAGAGGTATGATGCGAATTCGCGACAATCGACGTCAAGGGGTTAAGATCTTTGACACATTCATCAAAAACATGTTCACTATAAAATTGGAAACAATATATACAACACTTCACAGTCTCCTAATATTAAGTGTTGAACAGAATACAAACTGCATCTCCCCCATGTTCTAAAGTGGGAACATTGGAAGGTGTAGGCTACACAGAGTCAAAGTAATTATATCACATTGTAAAAATACTTACAAACAAACAGCAAGAAATAGAAAAAACTCTAAAGGGAAGAAAATTGATGAATACATTACTTGATAGGGCCACGGTTAAAACTAGATAACAGAGACAAATTTGACTTAATTGTTTATTTATGTAGGGAGTAGGGGGTGGGAGGCTATTACTAGAACTAGCCTATACATTTACTCCAGTTACAGGTTTTTGTGGATTCTTTTTTACTTTTCAATTTGGTGTAGGCCTACAATTTCATTAATTAATTTTTACAACATAGTTTAGAATGAAATGAATGTCCGGAACATAATTATGACATGTAGGCTATTGAATAAATTTACTCAATATAGTTTGGGGGTGGGGGGCCGTCGGACGACTTGTGGCGACGTAGCTGGCAACTTATCAATGAAGATGTAGCCCACATCATAAAACCTTGCTATGATAAGTATTTACCTTATTCCATCAAACTCCTCTTGTCATGTGTTGCAGAGTCATCCGGCTATACATCAAGCGATGACACTCATTTCATCTTAAAAAAACCAGCTGGTGCCACATTTATAGAAGGAGGCCTGAATGACACCATTTACAGAGACAGACCCGACGAGGTGAATGGGTGGGGGAAATTCTACCTTCCTGACATAGTAAGCATGCAGGTTGTAGGTGTAGTGGAGGGGACCTCATGCCCGTGTGACCAGCTCGTTCTGATGACCTGTGAGGACAAAAAGTTGTATGCCTACGATGGAGAGGAGCTGCACCAGGTGGCTTCAAGCATGGATACTCTATTGCAGAAGGGGGAAATAGAGTATCCATCATCCATAAGCTATTACTACAGGGAGGCCTTCAAAGAAATGGTGAGAAGTTACAATTAAGTTGCTGGGAACAAGCAGGGCTTTGATTATTGATCACCTGTGGGCACTGACAATGTTTGTTTAATATTGTCTGCTGTGTGTAGACTGAGGAGGACTGGGACAAGGTGAGGGAAGACCCTGTAGGGAAGAGTTTGGACGATACGCATCATAAACTGGTGACAGCAGAAAAGTTCCGATTCCTGGATAAACTCAAAATCAAATGTGAGTTTTTTTTCTTTGCTGCATTGTTAGGATTAAGGTCATAATTTTCAAAGAAAGGTTGTATTGATATCCTACATCAATGCATCTAAATTTACTGTTAGAAAGATCCGTTTGCCTGGTTATGCACAAACGCTTAGCTTCTGTGTCATTTATTCTGTATTGAGACATCTAATTGGTTTCTCTCTCTCACTCTCTCTCTCTCTCTCTCTCTCTCGCTCTCTCTAGGATTCAGCAGCTGATGATTTTGGTTTTTGTTCTGTTTGTGTTGTTAGTTCTCTTATATAAAATGTGTATCTCAAAAATTGTATTAATTAAAAATTGCACACTTTTAACCACAGGTAAAATGTATGGGGTCATTTTATTAATAAAGTGATCTAATATCTGTTTTAATATGATGGATAAAATAAAGACTCAGTGGTTATCACTCTTAGCACAAAGTTTTCAGTGTTTTTATGGAAATCATACAGACGCTGACAGATTGAAGGAAACACCTAAAAAAAATCAGTAGACAAACATGATGGATGCAGATGTGTTCATACTTGGAAAAAAGGGTCAGTGAATGGTTTTATAAAATTATGTGAATAATATGCTGTGGCTTTCACAGTCAACAAATCTCAATCCAACTGAATTCCTTTCCATCAACAGGTCAAAACGATATGTAGTCCATATATTCCAGATTTTGCTCAATATAATCAGATAATTGTGAAAATTATAGCCCCAGTTTCATACGTCTGGTTTTGTTTACTAGTTATTATAATCATACTGTCCTTTTTTTTTTTTTTTTTTTAGATATGGTTGATGATTTGACGCAGAAGTATAAAGGTATAAATCTAAGAAAATCACCTAGAGAGCTGAAATTTTTTCAGCCATATATACAACCCTACATATCTGCGGTGACAGCTCCAACTCAATTCAGTTGTAGACGAGGCTGAGCAGCTATAGAGAAAATATCATCAAAATTTTTTCAGCACATCCACTGAAATGTGACCAACGTTTACCTCACTGCAACTTATGATCAATTCAGAAGTCAGTCACTCTGTATTTTTCAGAATATGCTAGTTCAATTAACATCTGTATCTCCACAAGTCTTTCTTCAAACGCTACCAAACTCGACAGAGTCGTTCTCCACATGGCCAATATCAAGTGTTTCAAAGGGTTTTCAGATCGGTCAAACGGTGAGTCTGCAGTGATATTCAGTATCTTGCTATAACGTGTACAGTAGGGTGCCACTCAAGAATAAAGTTTCTAAGTTTCATCTTCCCACCCCCCAAATGTGTTAATAATGTGACAAAAACTAAGTTGACAACATTTTAACGTTTTCTAATAATTTTTACTGGTAGCTCAACACTGACAAAGTTTTATGATATTCAACATTTTCCGATTTTATCATGTAATATTAACTTTACTATCACAAGTTTGAATAATGTAAAACTACTCAAAAAGAAGACACATAGCTGCTAACAGTTACTTCATAAGTTAATAATAAACACTTAAGTATTCATAAGTGTCCAGAGAATGACTTTATTGCAGCTTAAAAAACAGCTACATGTGTTTTGTTGTAGGCTAGCGCTCCAGCTCACAGAGTAGCTGCAGATTTCTATGAAGTGGACGAAACACATGCACATGTAAAGCAGATAGACTTTCAGATAGACCTTAATTATGGAAGTGTTTAAGTGGCATAAGTGGGCGGCTTTGACTCAGGGTAGAACGGTCGTCCCCTTAAAGGAAGGTTGGGAACCCGAAATAGCTCCTGGTGGCTGTGCCATCAGTGTGTGAATGAGTTAATTTCTGTTTCTGATGAGCAGGTGGATCTCTGCTCATAGGTGGGTGAATATGATGTAGTGAAAAGCACTTTGTGTGGTCGAAAAGACTAGAAAGGTGCTATACAAATACAGCTCATTTACGTGTATATATATGTGACAGTTCATTCGGAATTGGGGGCGAAACCGGAAAATGTTAAGACTGTCGATAACCGAGCCCGGTGGAAAGCTCTGAGAGCCTAAATGTGTACCTCCGCACTGCGCTCCAACAAATAGAAGCGACAGCTGCAGAAGAAGCTATTGTCAAGTGACCTCTCTTGAAGTGTCCTTCTATACTGTACCAGAAAATAACTGGTGGGTGGTGCTAAAAATGAGAATAATTAAGATTAACATGACACACAGATGTGACATGGTGGTGCAGTGGTTAGCACCTCACAGCAAGAGGTTCTGTGGCTCGAGGCCCAGGCCTTTCTTTGTGGAGTTTGCGTGTTCTCCCCGTGTCTGTGTGGGTTCTCTTCATGTTCTCCTGCTTCCTCCCACTGTCCAAAGACATATATAGGTTAATTGGTGACTCTTTGCCCTTAGGTGTGAACGTGTGTATGACTTGTTTGTCTCTATGAGTTAGCCCTGTGATGAACGGGCAACCTGTCCGGGGTTCACCGACGACAGCTGGGACTGGCTCCAGCTCCTTCGCGGCCCTGCACAGAGTTAACAATACTACTGACTACGGCTGCAATAGTGCTAACCAAAAAATATTATTCTGATTACATAGTATTTAAACCAAATAATAACACAAATCAGAATATGAATAAATTATATAAAAAATTATAACAATACTTACTCGATACTTAGGATTAATTTACTTTGGTAGAGAACCATTGAGCTACCAGTAAATATTAATATATCTGAATGAATCTTCTCACAGTTGCTATGCATCATAAAAGGAACAGAATGAGGGGGTGGGACCTGGAAAATGTGGGAAAAAAAAATTGGCCATTACATTGAGTGGCAACATTTTCTTTTTTGCTCAGTTTTGGATCAAATGCCACCAAACTAATTCACAACACACCCAAAAACCAGCAGAATGATGTGTGATTTTTGTCAGAATTTTCTCACCTACATCTTGACAGTTGTAAGCATTTTAAGTTTAAACTGACAAAACTACCTGGGGCTCTGGCACATGTGACATGACTACCTAAACTTGTGATGTGTATAGCAACAGCCTCTCACCTGTAGCTCAGGCAGTAAGTA